TTCAATATAGACAGGTAAACAGAATTGGGCCATTGTAAGAAAATAAACAAGCAAGAATGCAACTTAACCCGTAAACAAGATGTCCGTGGAAGTAAATTTTACCGTAAACTTAGGAGGTCAGAATGAAGCAAAAACAAACAATGGTAAATTCAGTGAAAGAAAAAGCAGTTTCCGAATCTCCAAGTGTATTGGTCCATTTTCACACTGCTGTAAAGAACTGCCCAAGACTGGGTAATTTTTACAGAAAAGAGATTTAATTGACTCACGGTTCTGCATGGCTGGGAAGGCCTCAGGAAACTTACAATCATGGCAGAAGGCAAAGGGGAAGCAAAGACCTTCTTCACATGGCGGCAGGAAAGAGACAGCATGTGAGTGCAGGAAAAACTACCATTTATAAAACCACCAGGTCTCGTGAGAATTCCCTCACTATCATGAGAACAGCATGGGGGAAACCGCCCCCATAATCCAATCACCTCTCTCCCTTGACACATGGAGATTACAAATCAAGATGAGATTTGGGTGGGGGCACAGAGCCAAACCATATCACCAAGATACATCAGGGCATTTCTCAACACTAAAGTTTGAAGATGCGAGTAACAGAGGGATGCTCTAAGACAAGCATCCCTAAGACAAGCCAGAACATCAGAAAATTTGATGACCAGTTCACCTGACTTGGAAAACTGCCTGACTATTAAAACCTAAAATATTTATTTCTGAATCAGAGAACTTGGGGGCAAGTATATGTAAATTGGAGGTAATTTTGATCTGAAAACTTTTAAAAACCAAATGGGACTTGAAAAAATTCAAATTGTTGATTGACTTTTAAAATCTTTAGCTCAACAATATTAATAGTGTAAACACAAACAGGTAAATGCTTCCAAGAAAGCCTGCATAACTCACAGGATCCTCTAATCCGGCCAAGAAGGAAGGGAGAGGCCAGGCGTTCTGGCTCACGCCTGTAATCCCAGCACTTTGGGAGGCCAAGGCAGGCAAAACATGAGGTCAGGAGTTTGAGACCATCCTGGCCAATGTGGTGAAACCCCATCTCTACTAAAAATACAAAAATTAGCTGGGTGTGGTGGCGCACGCTTGTAGTCCTAGCTACTTGGAAAGCTGAGGCACTAGAATCGCTTGAACCCGGGAGGCAGAGGTTGCAGTGAGCCAAGATCATGCCACTGCACTCCAGGCTGAGCGACAGAGTGAGACTCTGTCTCAAAGAAGGGAGAGAGAAACTGAACTGAAATAGGCTAGTTCTGCCAAGAGAACTGCCTTTTCTGCCCGTGAAACTCTTCATCCCCGGAAGGTGGCGTTAAAGACCCTTCCCTACATGTGCGTGCGTTGTTCTTCAGCTCTGTTTCTACCAGTACATGCAGTACAAGAGCAAATAAAACCATTTAGAGCCATCCCAGGTGCATCATTACAGCAAAGGCTGAAAGTATCCTTGCCCCACACTTGGCAAAAATAAGGATGAGTAACATACGAGTGACCTCAAAGCCCCAGTGTACACTTTGGCTGTTCACGCAATGTCCTGGATGCTTGTTAATGAAAACAGGCTTTTGTCATAGCAACCCCAGTAACTGAAGAAATCTGAGGCCCCTGCCACATACCCTCTCCCTACCCCAACCCAGTGAGCTATTGCAGTGTTCTTACAGAGCTGGTGCAATAAAAATATTTTCAGTTAGCAGACATTCTTTTCTGCTACTTGATCTCAATATGTCTCTATTAGTTTTATCCCATTTGTCCCATAGTTGTGTTGATGGGAAATAAATGATCACACTCACCCTACAATACAGGCAAAATTTTAGTGCAGGGCTTAAATGGTTGGGCTGTGGACCTAGAGTGTCTGAGTTCAAATCCTGACTCTTCATCCGTTTCCTACCTATGTGGCTTGGAGTACTGATACTTTTTCCTTATCTGTAAAATAGGAATAGTAATGGAAGGTACCTCCTAGGGTTACTGAGAAGATTACATGAGATTAAGCCTGGGAAGCGCTGGGCACAGGCCTGCCCCATAGTAAGTGGGCAGTAGACATTCGCCGCCATTGATATTCTTGGGTTGCTACTTAAGAGGCTTCATTTTGACATTAAGTTTGGCAAATGGGAGGTCCTGGCCACTTGAAGCTGAAGGACTACCTGTGGTTAATAATTATCCCACAGAGATGGATATAGATTCAGCATTTTCAGGGAGTAGCATCTCCTTGTAAAGGAGGAATACATTTTGATTGCGCCACTTCTGTATTTTGATTAGGAAATGGATCTAGAAATTGCAATTTATTATTATTTTTTTTAATGAGGTGGAGTTTCGCTCTTGTTGCCCAGGCTGGAGTGCAGTGGCACCATCTTGGCTCACTGCAACCTCTGCCTTCCAAGTTCAAGCGATTCTCCTACCTCAGCCTCCCAAATAGCTGGGATTACAGGCGTCTGCCACCACACCCGGTTAATTTTTTTGTATTTTTAGTAGAGATGGGGTTTCACCATGTTGGCCAGGCTGGTCTCGAATTCCTGACCTCAGGTGATCCACCTGCCTCGGCCTCCCAAAGTGCTGAGATTACAGGCGTGAGCCACCACACCCAGGCTGCACATTTCTTGAATAGTGTTATGTGAGTCTTTCCTCTTTCAACATACTCAGAGGTAGAATTTTCTCATATTGAGATATACCTGCAATTGCTATAGCTCTAGCAGGAAAGCGCTTGTGCACGCTAGGTCCTGGGGAGGAGGCCCAGAAGTGATGGACTTGGTGCACCTCCACCTGGGTGTGGTACGATTTCTCCCACCCACTTCCACCCTGGCATCTCAAAGATACCAGGGGCATTGGCTGAAAAAGACGGATCACAGTCTTCCAGCGATGAGTCTAATCACTGCCAGACCTGAATCAGCCAGATATGTTTGCCTTCATTGTTTCAACTGTGAACAATATAGTGAGGCAACACCCTTGTCTGAAGGAGTTTCTTTGGCTCAGTGATGCCCACATTCAAGGTATTAAACATCAATAGATACACTACTGAGAAGGCAAAGTTTTATTCCTATTGTAGAACTGTAAGTTATCCTCTTTAGGAAATAGCTGCAACAGAGGTGAGGAAGTGTTCCAAAGTGAGGCCTTGAGTTTTCTCTGCAGAGCTTTCCAGAACATGTTAAACAGAAGCAGGAGGCAGCTGATCCTAGTTCATAAGTTTCCTTCCTGCTCACATAACCACCTCTCACTCTCCACGTTCTTCAAGTATATACTATGAAGTCCAGTTTCTTTCGTCCTTCCCAAAGGCCAACCCACTAGCCTTACCTCAGTGACTCTCTGTATAGTTAGACTCAAATCGTGTAATTAACATAAGTCAAGTGTCTGCAAACTAAGTATCTGTTTACAAATAATAAATTCTAGCTCATTCCCTCAACTAGGATTTGTACCTTCTATGTACCTGTGGAAAGCATTGGGTATAGACAGTGGTTAAAAAATAAACTCTATGAGGTCTGAGAGCATGACTAAAGTTAATGAGGGAGACAGACATGATACAAGGAAACCAATAAATATATAATTATACATTTTACTCATGCAGGAAAAAAGAATGACACTATGAGAGAAAACAAAGGGAACCAACTCTGGATTGAATCAGGGAGGGCCTCTCTGAGGAGGTGATATTTAAGCCAAGCCTGAAGGAAGAGAATCATCCAATTAAAATTTGGAGCTAGGGCATTTCAGGCAGAGGGAGCAGCAAGCGAGGATAAAAACTCCGAGGAAGCTTTGTGCGCTGTGTTGTGTGAGTGATGACAGGTGAGAGAGGAGGTAGGAGGGGAAGGCAGGGTTAGAATCCTGAGGCTCTGCTTGTTGTGATTTTATTCTGAATGGATGCTTGTATTAGGTCTGTTCTCACGCCACTAGTAAAGACATACCCAAGACTGGGTAATTTATAAAGGAAAGAGGCTTAATGGACTCGCAGTTCCACATGGCTGGGGAGGCCTCACAATCATGGCAGAAGGCAAATGAGAAGCAAAGTCCTGTCTTATGTGGTGGCAGGCAAGAGAGCTTGCACAGGGAAACTCCCATTTATAAAACCATCAGTCTCATGAGACTTATTCACTATCACGAGAACAGTATGAGGGAAACCACCCCCATGATTCAGTGATCTCCACCTGGTCCCACCCTTGACACATGGGGATCATTACAATTCTAGGTGAGATTTGGGTGGGGACACAGCCAAACTATATCAATGCTGGAGACAAAAGCAGAGTAGTGACCATCCAAACGATGTTCTTGAAAGGTCTCTCGGCTGGGCACGGTGGCTCACGCCTGTAATCCCAGCACTTTGGGAGGCCGAGGCAGGTGGATCATGAGGTTAGGAGATTGAGACCATCCTGCCTAACATGGTGAAACCCCGTCTCTACTAAAAATACAAAAAAATTAGCCGGGCATGGTGGCAGGTGCCTGTAGTCCCAGCTACTGGGGAGGCTGAGACAGGAGAATGGCGTGAACCTGGGAGTCGGAGCTTGCAGTGAGCTGAGATTGCGCCACTGCACTCCAGCCTGGGCGACAGAGAGAAACTCTATCTTAAAAAAAAAAAAAAAAAAAAAAAAAAAAAAAAAGGTCTCTCTATCCATTGCCTGCCAGGTAGATTTGAAGAAGGGAGGGGAGAAGGCAGAAGATGCACAGGGAGGCCATTGCAATAATCTGGATGAATGTGAATGGAGGTGGTGACTGGGGCTGGGACTATTGCAGTAGAGAAGGAGAGAAATGGGAAGCTTTGAGGTATGCTCGAAGGTAAACCAGAAGTTCTCGTAGGGAACAAGGAGCAGGAAGGGCCAGAGAAAGGCCTCCCCATGCCTTTTCAAAACTGGATCATACAACTAGTTTGCATTTACCTTTCCTTCTAGGTTGTATGTTATCTTATTCAAAAAGGTGGTAAATGTTTATTTTTTTCACTAGCTGAGTTTTTAGTAAAGCTTAAGGGCCCAGGACAGTCTAGATTCTGAAGCCAGGGTCCGAAATCTTACAAGTCACTGTTTATTTTACAGCCTACCAGGACATCCTCGGAAAGTATTTATTCTAGACCAGGCTCCAGTATTCCTGGCTCACCAGGTCATACTATCTATGTAAGTATCTACTTCTGGAAGTGACATTTCTGGGACAGGTAAATTAGTGGGTTGTAATAGCAGAATGGGTAATCCAAAACAAAAACTAATTCAAAGTGATTTCTATTTTTGTTATGAGACCTGATTTTCATTTTTATAGAACAGTCTCCTCAATCATGTTTACCTTTAGGTAATTACAGTTATATGTGACCATCAACAGAGTGATCAGACGACCTGTAAAACGTAGTAATATGTTACAGGACTTAAAAAGTTCTTGCACCTAAGATTCCATCTCAAAAAAAAAAAATTCTTGCACCTAAATTGCATATAGATATTTGGTGATTAAATATATATTTTATAATGCTGATACTGAGTGTTCTTAAATTCTACCACAAAGATATTTAAATATTTAGTTTATTAATTATGCAGTTCTTGTTTTTAACCATCTGAAAGGATTATTGGACCATCTGTTTGAGCTTTTTCCTTCACTGTCATAAATTCAGGAAATTATCCTTAAGGTTTGCATGTTTATCTATTTCATGAATTCTACACAGATTTTTTCCTAAGTGTTCAGTGACTTTTTTTAAAAAAAAGATTAATACATGGTATAAAATGATTAATACATGGTGTAAAGGACAACTTCTAAAGAGTGTAACTGTGCTAGTCAAGATGTTTTGGTTTTTGTTTATTTTAAGGCCTTCACTTTTTAAACAACAGGAAATGTGCCAACAACAGTTTCCCAAAGCAACGAGACTGCAAAGTAATTGTTCTTTCTGGTTAACTTTGCCAGGCAAAAGTAGACAATGAGATCCTGGATTACAAGGATTTAGCAGCCATTCCCAAGGTCAAGGCAATTTATGACATTGAACGTCCAGATCTTATTACCTATGAGCCTTTCTACACTTCGGGCTATGATGACAAACAGGAGAGGCAGAGCCTTGGAGAGGTAATACATTCTAGTGGTTGTGAGTTGTACAACAATTTACCTTCTCTTTTGTCACATTTGTAATAACTACCATTTGGAGTTTAGGTAAATCAGGTGGTCTTTTGTCTGCCTAGTATTTGCAGATTTCTAGACCAGGTGCTTGGAGGTATTCAGAAGCCCATCATGAGAGGTGGGAGAACAGACCAATGGCACATCAAACAACAATGAAGAAGGCTAAGCATTAGCATGCTGGGATGGAAACTGTCCGGAGGTGGGGAGGGAGTGGGGAGAAAGAGGGCAGGGCTTCTGTGAGCTGGGCAGAGCAAATAAGGGAGTGAGAGTCTCCTGGGGGGTGTCTAGTGATAACTTTAAGTATATTCATGGGATCATGAAGAGAGAGAACACACCCCCTAAATTTTGGTAGCTACAGTTTTCAGCAACTTAAGGAAGTTAGAATATGCAAGAAAAAATAAAGTAGAGAGCATGGGGCAACAGTTTAGCACAGGCGTGTGAGCCAGGATTCTGGAATCAAATTACCTGGTCTCAACCCAGGGATCACCACATGCTGATTGTCTGACTTTGACCATGTGACAGCCATTCTGCTCCTAGTTTCCTGGGCCAAGTACAGTGCTTGTACCTCTAATCCCAACATTTTGGGAGGCTGAGGGCAGGAGGATTGCTTCAGGCCAGGAGTTGAAGACCACCCTGGACAACATGGTGAGACCTCGTCTCTATATTAAAAAGATAAGAAAAATGGTCCTAGTTTCCTCACGTGTAAAACAGATAGGGTAATGATAGAATCTAACTCATACGGTATTGGTGAGGATTAAGCAAGCTAATCTACATAAAGCAATTATCAGAGGCCAGACTTGGGAGAAATACTGAGCATGTGGCAATCTCTACCATTGTTGCTACCTGTCCTCTTGGGGCTCGTTAATACTCGGCCCACAGACCCATCCGCTGTGGGACCAGAGCCTCTCAGCCCCTTGGGATCCTCCCCTCCCCAGTCCCATCCCAGGGTTGAAGGTTCTCTGTGGCGCCTACCCAAGTCCATTTCCCCTGGCCAATCAGCTCACTGTCATTTTTTGTGTTTTTTTTTTTAAATTAGAATCATCTGTAGACTGATTTGAGTCCACACAGATGTTAACAAATAGCTGACAAATTAGCTATTCAACAAAGGTTAAAACAATATAAACAATCTAGCATCTCACAGTGCTTTGAGGTCTTAGAGAAGAAAAGGCATGAAAATGTGATTCTGTTTAATTTGTTCTCAATTCCAGATGTATAATATTATTTGATAATTATATTTATGTTTATTTGTCATTTTATATATATTGATGCTTTTATTTATTTACTTTCTCATCTGGGTTTTATTCCAGAGAATAGCTCTGCGTGGAAAGGGTCCCTTTGACAGGAAGTGATATCTATTTTCATGTAGTGCCACCTAGTGGTCACTTAGCTGTAGCTGCACTTGCGGCGGCTCTCAAGCGCAGGTGCCTTGGCCCGGGTTGTCAGTTGGCATTGAACCCCCCAGAGTTTCGTAGGGGATAAGAGGCAAGGGGAAGTTCCTGAACAAAGTGCATAGAGATTGGTCTTGGACCCTGTGGATGAGAATTTACTAATGTTTAACTCATACAAGCAAGGGGATGTGAGTTTTTTTTAATGGCGTTAAGGATTTGGGGCTCGTAGTGTGCGTGCACAGGTGTGTCTGTGTGCGGTGTATGTGTCTGTGTGTGTTTCCCAACAGCTCCGTTCAGGGCAACAAAACATTAAGCACTCAAGAGTTTGGGCTTTGAGGTGAAAATCTCTGCATTTAAAACCAGACTCGGCCAGACATGGTGGCTCTGTCTGTAATCCCAGCACTTTAGGAGGCCAAGGTGGGTGGATTGCTTGAGACCAAGAGTTTGAGACAAACCTGGGCAACATACCAAAATTCCATCTCTGCAAAAAAAGAAAATACAAAAATTAGCAAGGCGTGATGGCACACACCGGTAGTCCCAGCAACTTGGGAGGCTGAGATGGGAGGATCACTTGAACCCAGGAGGTTGAGGCTGCAGTGAGTCATGATCATGCCATTGTACTCCAGCCTGGGTGACAGAGCAACACCCTGTCTCAAAAAATAAAATAAAATAAAATAAAATAACAGACTGGTACTGACTAACCATATAACTTTGGGGAAATTATATACTTCAATCTCCTTATCTGCAAACTCAAGATAGAGAACAAGAATACCTACGTTAGAAGTTTTCTGTAAAGAGTAAGTGAGCTATTTACATTAGAACAGTACTGGGCACATAATAAGTGCTTAAGAAAAATGCCGGCTACTCTCGTAATCAGCCACTATAGTTACTGTCATAACCTGGAATGATGTCCCACGGTTTTCTTTATGCATAGAGGGTGCCCCTGGGATCAGAAATCAGACATATTAGTGAACTCTTTCCCAATACTTGCATCTTGCAACTGAGAGAACTTTACAAGCTGTTCTATTATTTATTCCATTAGTTTTTTATCACACTTCTTTTATAGACCTCATATATATATTGCATTTTTTGAGATGGAGTTTTGCTCTGTCACCCGGCTGGAGTATAGTGGTGCGATCTTGGCTCACTGCAACCTCCGCCTCCCAGGTTCAAGCAGTTCTCCTGCCTTAGCCTCCCAAGTAGCTGGGACTACAGGCAGGTACCACCAAGCCAGGCTAATTTTTCTATTTTTGGTAGAGGCGGGGTTTCGTCATGTTGGCTGGGCTGGTCGTGAACTCCTGACCTCAAGTGATCCACCCGCCTCAGCCTCACAAGGTGCTGGGATTACAGGTGTGAGCCACCGCACCTGGCCTTTATACATATTGCCATTTAAGAAACACTGCAAGAGTCAGCTTAGTTCTGTGCAGCCGTTGGTGCCTCCAGGGCCCTGCTATCAGTGCAGGTGCAGACCTGGGCCCTGACCTTGAGACGAGCCTTCACCTAGCTGAGACCCCCTAGAGACAGGCTATAGCTGCAGAGGAGACCGTGGAGCTTGTGAAGCCTTGGAATACAGAAAGTCTGCCCACTTACTATAGAATGTGGGGCAAAGGGCAAATTCTAAAACGGAGAAGTCCACCCCTGGCTGTGTTCTCCATAGCTCTGTTTGCATTTCATTTCTTTGTGAAAGCTTTTTGCATTTTAATTGTAAACATTTTATTCATTTAGAAAATACTTGTTGAGCAACTACTATGTCCCAGGAGCTGCTGTCATCACTGGGAATATGTAGTTGTAAACAAACAGTCCTTGCCTTCATGGAGCTTGTGGCATCGCGTAGGAGACAGTAAAGAAACAGATTTTACAGAGTGGTAGGGCTCTGAGGAAAAATGAAGCACAGTAAAGAGAAAGCATACCAGGGGCTGGGTCGCTCCTCTCGATAGAAAGGTCACGGAGATACTGTGTGACAGTGGGTTTGAGCGGAGACATCAGCGCTGATGGGGAATGAGCCCTGCAGGTGTCTGGGTGAAAAGCACTGGCAACAGAAGAGACAGCAAGTGCAAGGGCCCTGAGGTGACAGAAGGCTTGGCTTGTTGATGGCCCCAAGGAAGCCTGTGAGCCTAGGAGGATGGAAGCTAGAGGTGAATGGTAGTGAGATTGGCGAGGCAGCCAAGGCAGGATGCCCCATGCCTAGTCACCAAAGTCCTATTTTAGTTCTCAAACTATTTTATGGTGATTGCTGTGGTTGCAATTTAGTCAACCACCATGTGAACAAGATCCTATGTTTCAGTAGATGCTGTAACTCATCAGAGTAAAATGAGCATGGTTTGAATATATAAGGGAAATGATTCTAACTTGTCTAGCTTAATCACCTAAGTATGTATCACAATCATATCTATTCATGGTTTTTTGTTTTTTTTTTTTTTTTTTTTTGAGAGGAAGTCTGTCTCAGGCTGGAGTGCAGTGGCCGGATCTAAGCTCACTGCAAGCTCCACCTCCCGGGTTCACGCCATTCTCCTGCCTCAGCCTCCAGAGTAGCTGGGACTACAGGCACCTGCCACCACACCCGGCTAATTTTTTGTACTTTTTAGTAGAGACGAGGTTTCTCCATGTTAGCCAGGATGGTCTCGATCTCCTGACCTCGTGATCCACCCACGTCAGCCTCCCAAAGTGCTGGGATTACAGGCGTGAGCCACTGTACCTGGCCTATTGATGGTTCTTAGGCAGAGATGTGCACCAGAATTTCCCCGGAACTTTGTCAGAGTCTACCTGTCTGAGCCCCAGGGCAGATGCATTTGTACCTGATCAGAAGACAGGGAGATGGGGAGGGATGCTGGCAAGTATATGTTGCCTAATATTTCCAGCGGACTCTGATAAGCAACTCTAAAACTGGCAGAGGCCAGGTGTGGTGGCTCACACCTGTAATCCTAAAACTTTGGGAAGCTGAGGTGGGCGGATCACGAGGTCAGGAGATCGAGACCATCCTGACTAACGCAGTGAAACCCCATCTCTACTAAAAATACAAAAAATTAGCTGAGCGTGGTGACACATGCCTGTAGTCCCAGCTACTTGGGAGACTGAGGCAGGAGAATCAATTGAACGCAGGAGGCAGAGGTTGCAGTAAGCCGAGATTGTGCCACTGCACTCCCGCCTGGATGACAGAAAGAGACTCTGTCTCAAAAAAACAAAGAAACAAGCAAAAAAACCAGCAAAGAGTTAACAAACATTGTGACTTTAAATTCTCTTTTATTTTTCTAGTCTCCAAGGACTTTGTCTCCTACTCCATCAGCAGAAGTAAGTACCATTTCTTTTTACCATTTTAATGGGTAGAATTTGAGAATTGCTTGACCCTTCCCTAGACTTGGATTTTTGAAAAAGGACATAACGTACAAAAGAACAGAAAAACTGCATGTGGGACTGTGGTGGTTTTGGGGATTACTTCTGTGGAAGAGGGAACTCTAAGAAACAGCAGTATATTCCTCTTAAATTGGAGACCAGGGAGTAAAAATGGCCTCACATTAATCTGTGTCTGTGCCTCTAAGTGGAAGGAAAGTGTCTGCAGGGACATAAGTCACTTGTCCCAATGTATATATCTATCTATATATAGATATATCTATAATTAATTTTTCTGAACCCTAATAAACTGAAATGGCCAACAGCAGTCATGGCGTATTCTTTAAGCAGAGCCATCTTGATAGGAGGTTACTCTGTTTAGTCTGAAGTCAATCATCTGATCCTAAAACCAAGCAACTTTCTGGATATTATGAAACTGGACTGCTTTTAGGGAATCTCTGTAATTCAAAGTAGTAAAAATACTATAATGTTTTCATGGTTTATGACTGAGTGCTATGAATTATTAATTTCTACCTATATTCTAATAATTTGCATTGAATTTATGAAGAATTAATTTCTGTTGACCAGCTGTGTAAGGTTGAAGCACATAATTTGGGGACTTTTTGTTTTGTTGTTTTACTTAATTTATTGTTTAAGACAACTAGTATCAAGCCAAAGTTTCCCCTTACCATTTGCTCTCAAATTTCACAAAGTTATGGTTACTGAGGTTTTCATTTAGTCATTATTAATGCATTCTTTCAAACTTTTTACTTTTATTGTGCTAGTGGAAATTTCATAGGACAACAGATTCCTAAAATGTAAAATATTCTTTGTACTCTTTCAACTTTTTAGACAGTTTTATATTGTGTTTGTGTGCATGTGGTTTCTTTGTACTTATTACCTAATATATCCTTTTCTAGGTTTGGAGACAGGTGACATTTTAGTGGTGCTATGCTATTCCATTGAATTCACATGTCATAATTTCCTGGTTTTGTTTTTTTTTTTTTTGAGACAGAGTCTCACTCTGTCACCCAGGCTGGGGCGCAGTGGCGCGATCTTGGCTCACTGCAACCTCTGCCTCCTGGGTTCCAGCAATTCTCCTGTCTCAGCCTCCCAAGTAGCTGGGATTACAGGTGCACACCACCACGCTTGGCTAATTTATGTATTTTTAGTAGAGACAGAGACAGGGTTTCTCCATGTTAGGCAGACTGGTCGCAAACTCCCGACCTCAGGTGATCCACCTAGCTTGGCCTCCCAAAGTGCTGAGATTACAAGCATTAGCCACTATGTCTGGCCCGTATGTCATAATTTCTTAATTGTGCCCCAATTTGTTGAACATGTAACGCAAATTTTTGCCTTTATGAATAGTGGTACTATAAAAGTATTTGAATAAATTATTCCTCCTTTAAAAGGGCATTTTAAATTATTTTCTTGGAATATGTTTCCCAAGATGAGAAGTAAAATACCGACTTTATGGCAATCATCAACTTGTTATTCAGGAGAATTTACTTAAAATGTCACCAGATCAATGTTCTAGACGGTATAGGTAGGTTGGTGGTCAGAACAAAGGATGAGATTAGTGTCAGGAGGCTGGTTTTGAAGCAGGCTGTGCCCATACCAGTCACACGCCTACACACAGGGCTCTTACCTGCTTGAAACCATGTTTCTACATTAGTGGGGGGAGGGGGAGGGAGGTGATAGTATGTGATCTACCTTTTCTTCTTGTTATGCAGATCTGGTAGGTATGTGAACATACTTATGAAACTGAAAAGTACAATGTCAGCATGGTCATTGGAATTATTATCTTTTGTCCCATAGCCCTATCTCTATTAAGGTTTATATGTTTTCATCTTTAAAAAAAATTTTTTTTAAGAAACAGAGTCTCACTCTATCATCCAGTCTGGAGTACACTGGCACAATCATAGTTTACTGCAGCCTGAACTCCTGAGTAGCTGGGACTGCAGGCATGTGCCACCATACCTGGCTAATTTTTTATAATTTTTTGTAAAGACAAGGTCTCGTTATGTTGCCCAGGCTGTTCTCGAACTCCTGGCTTCAAGCCATCCTCCCACCTTGGCCTCCCGAAGTGCTAGGATCACAGGTGTGAGCCACCACACTTGGCTCTTAAAATTTTGTAATAAGCCCAAGTACTGCAGATTTTGAGCACAATGTATTAGCCACAGAATGCTCATTTGCATATAAAATACCTGTAAATTTTGCACATAAAAATAAGTGCATATATTAATCAAATATAAATAAACAAGTAGACATGATGGTTCCTTGGCAATGTTTGTGAAACATGGTTCCTACCGAGGAATGGTGACGGCCTGAATGTGTTGAACCTTGTTTCCAGGGGTACCAGGATGTTCGGGATCGGATGATCCATCGGTCCACGAGCCAGGGCTCCATCAGCTCTCCTGTGTACAGCCGCCACAGCTACACTCCCACCACGTCGCGCTCTCCCCAGCACTTCCACAGACCTGGTAAGGGTGGCTGTTCCTGGGATTCACTCTATATAACAAACTGTGTTTCTGTGATTTTTTCCCCCTACTATTGATAGCACATTGAAAAACCGATGACTAAACATTTCCATCCCTTTCCTTAGCCAAATGAAAACTGATATCCAACTATATTTTATGCTGTACCTTTTCTTGAAACATCAGTCATCCTATGGCTGTGTACATTTTGATTTATTAATTATATTTTGACAGTGAGCTACTAGAAGCAAGGGTTTTTTTTAAAAAAATAGGATTAATGAAAATATCTTCACTTTGAGACTTAAAATGGAGATCTCTCAAAGAAAATATTTTGATGTGCTTTCTAGGCATACCAACATCACCTAAAATTCAGTATTAGCCGTTTTTAACAGATGTATTATGCTTCCCTTATCTAGGCACGTGGTGTTAGTAAGTATGCTTGGTTAAGTACCTTCTAGAAAGAGGACTCAGGGCTGTTCTTGATCACTTTTAAGATCCTTTCCAACCCTAAGATTTTCAATCAGACTTAGAAAATATAAAATCATTTCCAACCCTAAGATTTTCAATCAGACTTAGAAAATATAAAATCATTTCCAACCCTAAGATTTTCAATCAGACTTAGAAAATATAAAATCATTTCCAACCCTAAGATTTTCAATCAGACTTAGAAAATATAAAATCATTTCCAACCCTAAGATTTTCCATCATACTTGGAAAACATAAAATTATTAGGCATCACTACAGTAGAGAATGCCACAAAGTAGCAGATTTTAGTGGACCTTCATCTGCAGAGAATTTAGTGTCTGTGGCTACTAGTGGGTGTCTCCTGTGTATAGTAGGAGAAGAATGGAGACCCCAGTAAAGATCCAAGATTCCCTGAGAAATAGATTCACAAGGAAGATTCTGGCCTCTAATAAAACTTAATGGTGATAGTGTGCATCTGTGAAGACTTCCTGTTAAGCTTCTTGCTTCTGGATGGGTAGATGAGAACAAACCCATATGCTACCTTTTTTTTTAAATAAATTGTACAAGAAATAAAACCAAAGGAATTAACAGAATGATAAAAGGCTGCAATCTTCTCTCTAAGACCCTAGATTTAATACTTGCAGATAATTCAAACTATTTGATCCTTTGATAATGTATAATTTTCTCTACACTGGTAAATATTTATGCTGTTTATTGAATTACATTAAATGAAAGTTCTCAGGAAATTTTTTTCCCTTATTTCATGGGCTACTATATTCATTTTATTCATGCCCAGAACATGGGTCTTGATTTAAGCCCTTGTCTATTTGGGTAATAAGAAATCCTTTATGCTGGGCCAGGTGTGATGGTTTACGCCTGTTATCCCAGCACTTTAGGAGGTTGAGACAGGTGGATCACCTGATGTCAAGAGTTCAAGAACCAGCCTGACCAATATGGTGAAACCCCGTCTCTACTAAAAATACAAAAATTAGCCGGGTGTGGTGGCGTGCACCTGTAGTCCCAGCTACTTGGGAGCCTGAGACAGGAGAATTGCTTGAACCTGGGAGGCGAAGGTTGCAGTGAGCTGAGGTCGCGCCACTGCACTCCAACCTGGGTGATAGAGCAAGACTCTGTCTCAAAAAACAAAAAAAAATCCTTTATGCTGCCACCCAGCTCGTGTGCATGTGCTGAGGTCACTGAGACCCCAGCCATGGAGTTACCAGAGTGGCGTGGGGTTATAGGGGCATTGTTGTTCCAGAGATCCCTGAATAGTGAGGGGAGTGGTCAGTCAACACTTCTTCCCCCAAAAGCTCATGTCCTTATTGAGAAAGTTTCCATCTGTTCCAATCATGGTTCTGATGCCAATAGACTTTAGAACCTTCTCCTTCTCCTTCTTTCCTTTCACAGTATATTACATGTATGCCTGATGCCACTCGTTAGGCTTTATAGTTATTATTTTGAGGTCTGCCCTTCTAAAGTGAAGCTGGAGGAATTCTGATAGCATACTTGTGATCCATACAGAACACCCCAGAGAGTCCACTCCACAAGTTCTAGATGCCAGATGATGATTTAAAACCCCCTCAGTCTGGGTTGAAGTTGAATGGTCCATTCTTCCTGAGATAACTGAGTTTCCAGCCTCCAGTACTCCTGCTGAAGTTCTCGGGATCATATAGACCTCTTTGCCACACAGGGAACACAAACAGGTTTTCCTTGTATGTAGGCAAAATAAAATTCAACTTACAGTGGTATAAGTTTGCTTAAGAAAAAAAAAAAAAACCTGACCCTTACATACAAATACAATGATTGTCATTTTTTTAATAAGCATTTCAGAGGGTTCTGTTTTGTCAGGTGCTTTTTAAAAACAGCTGTTGTTGAATCTAAATGATGTGTCTGCTACTGGCTGAACAGAGACCATCCAGGTGACCATTTCTTCTCACCAAAGCCATTTATTCTCAGAGAGTGACTCTGTACCCGCCTGAACCTCTTTGCACTCTCCCCCACTTTGCCTCAGCCTTAGCAGGTGCATTCTTAACCCTTTCTCCTTCCTCCCTTTTCAGCCTCCTGATTAACGTTCTTTATTTTGTTTTCCCTTGGAACGATGGCACTTTCCCTGCTCCTGTGTTAATTTCTGTTCTTCTTTTCTGTTTCCACCGTGCCCTGCCCCTGACTCCTTGCTGCACAGAGCTTTTGTCTCCTGGTGTGCAGAGGTTGTCGTACCTGCGCACCAGCAGCCTCAGCCCCACCCACAGCGACTCCCGCCCCAACCCCCCTTTCCGACACCACTTCATTCCCCATATCAAAGGTAAGGAGGCAGGTTTCTCCAGGCAGCACCCTGCATAGTGGAGATTTATTAGCACCCTGGGAAGGCTAATAAGGTGTATCTCCAAGAGTTAGTGCCGAGCTTTTGAGCTCTCAGCATGCCTGCGTGTGTCATGACTATACCCAATAGTTGTCTTAGAATGGGCATAGCGTCTCTCGTTGGGAGAAATATGTCACTTCTAAGGGCTCTAGATGAAGAAGCAGGAAGTATGTTTAAGACCATAAAATTTATTATCCACTGCTTTGAAAAAAGAAAAATATATATATATATATATATTATTTTGTTTTTGGATGTATTGAAACAAAATATAATATATATAATTGGAATATTTTCCTGGGTTCAATACGTAACAGGTCACAGCAAAACACAACAGTGTTTAGTAACAGATATACAAAAGTTGTCTTACAGGTGATAAACTATAACCATATTAACATGTTTGGGCAGCATTAAAAGATCTATGGCAACATCAGTGTTTCTCCTTGAGCTGACTCAGAGCAGTCGTCTTTTGATTTGTCCTAACTCCCACATGATGGAGAAGAGAGGCTTTGCCTTCTGTTTTCTGTTCCTGCCTCACATGTCTGCCCCATCCCTTCATTTTCATCATTGTCGGCAATGCTTCTGCAGCCATCCTCAGTTGGGACTGTCCACACTGGGGGAGCCGAGAGCCCTGACGAGGCTATGAAGGGGTCATAATTTAAAATTAAGTAGGAGTTCCTGGAATGGTGCGAACTTGATTTGAACCAAATTAACCAACAGTAATAGCTGAAGGATGGAGGAGGAGGCAAGCACAGATGTTATCACGGGTCTTAAAACAGTCCTAAAGGACTCTTAACCATGTGCTGCTCTGCGTGTCATATCCCTGATGCTTCCATTGAGGAGCTTGTTCTGGTTTACTGAATTTTCGTTGTCAGTCTACCCAAGCTTTTTCTTTGTGCTCACTTGGTTGTTGAGTGGCTGAATCCTAAAAGGTACATGTACTGTACTTATCATTATGCAGTGATGCTAATTTCAGCATTCTCTGTGTTTTGAAAATAACATTGCTCATTGAAGCAATCGTGCTTATCAAAGACACACGTGCCTGGAGTTAAGGCACACGTGCCATTTGCCATTAGCAAATTTTTTGATAGGTACAACACTCTCTAAAACTCTTGACAGATTATTTTACTTAATTTTTTTAAAATTTTTTTTATTTTTTTGACACAGAGTCTTGCTGTGTCACCCAGGCTAGAGTACAATGGTGCAAACTTGGCTCACTGCAACCTCCGCCTCCCAGGCTCAAGCGATTCTTATGCCGCAGCCTCCTGAGTAGCTGGGATTACAGGTGTGCACCACCACACCCAGCTAATTTTTGTATTTTTGGTAGAGATGGAGTTTGGCTATGTTGGCCAGGCTGGTCTCAAACTCCTGGCCTCAAGTGATCCACCTGCCTTGACCTCCTAACGTGTGGGATTACAGGTGTGAGTTATCATGCTCAGCCAACAGATTATTTTAAATAATGAGTGCTAGTTAGTATTTTTGGGGAAAATTTTTATTTATAAAATGTCAAGATGATACTTTAGAGAATGTTTATAAAATCATAAAGAAATTATGCTGTTTTTTTTTTTTTCTTAAAAAAAAAACCCCTTCAGTTGTATATTTTAAAGAGACTTTACTATAGCAGCCATTAGTCAAATTAAGATTTTGGTTATTTCTGCTGAGGTGGGCAAATTGCTTGAGCCCAGGAGTTCAAGACCAGCTTGGGCAACATGGCAAAACCCTGTCTCTACCAAAAACATGAAAACAAAATTAGCTGGGCTTGGTAGTGCATGCCTGTAGTCCTAGCTATGCAGAGGTTGAAGCAGGATTGCTTGAGCCCAGGAGGTGGAGGATGCAGTGAGCCGAGATCGAGCCACTGCACTCCTGCCTGGGTGACACAGCAAAACCCTGTCTCAAAAAAAAAAAAAAAAAAAAAAGAAAGAAAGAAAAAAAGATTTTGGTTATCTCTGATATTTAAGAAAAAATACATTATTGATTCATTAAAATGTAAACTTCCTCACTTGGCTATTATATGTTTCAACTTTTAGAGAGAGACTTTTTGTAGAAAGAAAAGTGTCACAGGCCCTATAAAGTTACACAGTTTGTACAAATAACACAGCACAAAGTGTCAATAGCTGGTCAGTGACTAACACTACCTCATGTCCATGAGAAGCCATGTGGACAGTTGAAAAGCCCATGGACACTGGAATCTTGGGTTCAGATATCTCCGTTACTTGCTAGCTGTGTGACCTTGGGCTGCTTATTTATCTATCCTGTTGAGTGTCACTTGCCTCCTCTATAAATCAGGAACAATGAGACTCCTACATCACCAGGTGAAGTATCTTGGTGTGGAGCGCACCCACCTTGGTCAGTGTGGTGCTCTTAAATTGCTTTTTTTTTGTTTTTTTGGAGACAGAGTCTCACTCTGTTGCCCAGGTTTGCATGCAGTGGCACGATCTCAGCTCACTGCAGCCTCCGCCTCCCGGCTTCAAGCAATTCTCCTGCCTCAGTCTCCCGAGTAGCTGGGATTACAGGCATGCGCCACCATGCCCGGCTAATTTTTGTATTTTTAGTTTCACTATGTTGGCCAGGCTGGCCTCAAACACCTGACCTCAAGTGATCTGGCCATCTCAGCCTCCCAAAGTGCTGGGATTACAGAATTGAGCCACCGTGCCTGATTTTAAATGGTTTTTGATGCCATCATTCTGTTCACTTTTCACAGCATTCTTGGGAAATGGACTCAGTGAGGAGACCAAATATGGAGGCCCTGGCTAAGTAACTGTCCAGGGGCTCACCTCTAGGACGTGGCAGTGCCTGGACTAGACCCAGGCCCCCTCCTCCCCAGGAACGCTCCTTCATATGAGGGCCATGCGTTTCAGTATAAATATGTGTGAAGATAATTTTTAAAGCACACTTTTATTTTTCATCCCTTTTAGCCAGAAAATTGCATTCTTATTGAGTCTTAGACCAAGAATTATCCTCAGTCATTTAGATCATAAAATTAAGAAATATTTACTTTTCCGTAGAAATATTAAATGATTATAAAAATTATGGCACCCCTATGTTCCTAAATGGTGCTTTATTAAAAATGTAAGGCCGGGCGCGGTGGCTCAAGCCTGTAATCCCAGCACTTTGGGAGGCCGAGACGGGCGGATCACGAGGTCAGGAGATCGAGACCATCCTGGCTAACACGGTAAAACCCCGTCTCTACTAAAAAATACAAAAACCTAGCCCGGCGACTTGGCGGGTGCCTGTAGTCCCAGCTACTCGGGAGGCTGAGGCAGGAGAATGGCGTAAACCCGGGAGGCGGAGCTTGCAGTGAGCGGAGATCGTGCCATTGCACTCCAGCCTGGGCGGCAGAGAGAGACTCTGTCTCCAAAAAAAAAAAAAAAAAAGTAAATATACATTCTTTTCTGTTTTCAGTCTGCATTTGAAGTTTTTGACACCGTCAGATATTCTGGATTTAAATGATAAAAAGCGTTAGGCCAAAAGGAATTAGTGACCCTGAACTTAAAAACATCTAATAATCTCTCTCCCCTTGTCTTTTTACTAGACATGTGCCTATAGTTTGTTCATATGAAATAGTCTTTATGCTTCAGATGCAAAGTATAATGTACATGACAGTATATACTTAGTTTTTCAATCATAGATACATGGTGGAGATTTTGTACATTAAAGATATTGCTTTAAAAGCCTAGTGTATTTGGCTAAATGCCGATTCTCCAAGGAATTACATCTTAGTTATTTTGAAACACATGTGTCCTTTTACATGGAAGACCTCTCCGGCACTTAGAAATTTCAGAATAGGGGAAACCTAGAGCCATTGAGTAACATATCCAAGATATCTTTGAGATAAGTCAATGTCATCCAGGGTTTTTTGTGGCCCTTCATTGACTTTTATCTTGGAGCTTGTCTTGGAGCTTGAGGGAGTTTTTCTTGTTTGTTTGTTTTGTTTTGTTTTTAATGGATGTGAGCTGGGAGCTTGACCTAAGGTCGGATGTCCATCTCGGAGGCAGGGGGCGCCATTTGCCACTCTGGCAGCCAGAAGCCCAGCCTTCCATTGCCCAAGTCCACTTCCTGGTCCTTGTTTCTGCAGTGTGTGACCCAGGCCTGGGCTCACTGAGCTGAGGATGCCTGCATGATTGTAAAGCTGAGATGCACGGCACAGACTGTTTCTCTGCTTCACTGGCTTCCCCATTCATTTTCCATAACATCCATTGTTGGTTGGGTGTATCTTTATTTCTGTCCTCCAAACTTCCTTGTAGCCTCATTCTATCTTAGTATATCTTTGGGCCATTTGGACAACCTTATGCCTAGAGATTTGGAAAAACCATTTTCACTTTGTTTCGGGCTCTGTTTGTGAAGTGTCTGCTAAGTTTCTCTTCCTTCCCCTTTGAAATACTGCTAGACATGACATTCTGTGTCCATGAAGTATAAATTGGATTTCTGAGCAGGAGGGGTATATATATTAAATCTCTTTGAAAGGAATCTTTCCTCTTTTGCTATAAATACGAGTTGCCATGATGTAAATATATATTTGACACTTGCTGAAGGAAACTGTAACTCTTATTGATGCTTTAGACAAGAACCGGCAATCTTAAAACTGTCACAAAATTCTGGATGCTGCCAACTTATCTTAAGGCTCCCTCAAGATGTTCATTTATATTTGGGGATGTAAGCACTCTGAGTCCAGAAAGCTAGGCAGTGCTCCAACAGGTCCCCACAGCAGAATCGCACACCCCCATCTCTATTCACTTGTCTTAGAATTAGTCACTCGGGCTCTCATGGTGCCAAAAAGAAGAATGAAAGTGGAGACAGGCATTTAAATTTGTTAAGTACAGTGAGAGTCCTGTAAGTGAATGCGCCCCCGAGGTCTAAAAAATTGGCTTACTAGGGTAATAGGAAAGGAGGTAAAACTGAAGGCCAAGAAATAGAAATAGAAACATAAATAGAAATATAGTAGCTTGTCACTACAATAGATACAGAACACTAGCAACTTAGGGTGGCCCAATCTGAGGACTTAAAGGAACAAAATAGCCATGAGTGTGAGATATATATATATATATACTATTGTATTATACACAGATACACACACACACACACACACACATACACACACACAGTAGTTTTGCTTTTTGTTTTGAGACAGAATCTCACTTTGTTGCCCCGGTTGGAATGCAGTGCTGCGATTTCAGCTCACTGCAATCTCTACCTCCCAGGTTCAAACAATTCTCCTGCCATAGCCTCCTGAGTAGCTGGGATTACAGGTGCCTGCCATCAACACCCGGCTAATTTCTGTATTTTTAGAAGAGACAGGGTTTCACCATGTGGGCCAGGCTGGTCTCAAACTCCTGACCTCAAGTAATTCACCCGCCTCAGCCTCCCAAAGTGCAGGGATTTCAGGTATAAGCCATCATGCCCGACCTATTATTTTTAAACAGTATCTTATTCTGGGTTGATAGATGATGACAATGATGGTGATAATAATGATATCTTCCAAATATGAGATTTCATCTGGTATGTCACAGATTGCTTTGTCTAAGTAAGGAACTATGCACAGATGACCTCTTAGGGCCCCCATCAGTTATTTCCTGCCAGGGTTGGGTTCAAAGTTTTATCATTTAAATAGGGAGTTGGCCAGGTGCAGTGGCTCATGCCTGTAATCCCAGTATTTTGGGAGGCCAAGGCAGACAGATCACTTGAGGTCAGGAGTTTGAGACCAGCCTGGCCAACATGATGAAACCCTGTCTCTACTAAAAATACAAAAATTAGTTGGGTGTGGTGGCACATGCCTATAATCCCAGCTACTTGGGAGGCTGAGGCAGGAGAATTGCTTGAACCTGGGAAGCAGAGGTTGCAATGAGCCGAGGTCGCACCACTGCACTACAGCCTGGGCAACAGAGCAAGACTCTGTCTCAAAAAAATAAAAATAAAAATAAGGTGTTTAATTTAGAAAAGGGAAAGAGGCCTCTTCTTGAGAATTTTCCTTTTTGTTTAGAAATGCCCAAAATTTGTCATGCCTTTGGTATTTCAAGGGCTAAGAATTTGGTACCTAGAAACATTATCTATTCCAAAAACTTATTCCCCAGTGAGCGGTTGTGGTATGTGGAAAGCACAGTCTGCAGAATTGCTGAGATGGGTGTGTCACTGGGTCTCCCTCTACCTGATTTTTAAAAATGCTTTGTGGGAAGTTTTAAATGATTATAGTTAAATCTACTTATAAAATTTGAACATACTAGTGTTTGTTTTTTTTTTTTTTTCCAAACAACTAGAGAGGTGAATGTTTGCTGAAGCCATCCAGCCTAATATAGAACCACACCCAACTGGTGACAGCATTCAGCCAGAAGCCACTCCTTGGGAATTCAGACAGCTACTCCATAACCTCTGAGAGGCTTTGATCATATTCAAGAACTGAGGGGCTTCTAGAGGCACTGGCCACCAGAGGGTCTTGTTAATAGAAAGATTTTAATCCCTGGACAAATGTCTAATTCTAATAACCTTAAAGTTTGTGTCCTGCATATGCAGATATTTTTGTGCGTGCGTGACATGGGCTAATAATGATAAAAACTGATTTAATGGGGGTTCATTTGATTGTGTATTATAACCAAAACCTATGAGAACTTTCCTGGAAACATCTGATTTTCTACAAGGACAGTGGAGGTCGATGTGAAAGAACAAAAGCACGCAGCAGTGTGGTTCAGAAGCAGTAGCAAAAGTTGAGACCCGGTGTACCTTCTATCGAGAAAAGACCATAAGAATGATTCTGTTTTTCAGTTATGGATTACCCTTGTTAATAATTTCTAATGTTCATAGGATTAAATCATTTTTCTTCAGTGAAACGATTAAATTGGAGCTGTCAAGGATTGGCTGTAATGGGGAAGTTATAAAAGGGGTGATCCCGGTGCTGTATACAGTAGGTCTTTACTTATCATCATCAGTAGGTTCTTGGAGACTGTGATTTAAGAGAATTGATATATTAAAATAAGAGTCTAGTTTTTCCCCTCATCAATGTTGTGATGAAGCTAGGTTGAAATAAACAACGTTCTTCAAGGACCTGCTGTATGTTATTTTGCTTAAAATTGCAGTTTCCAATAACCTATTGATGTTAAGTGAGGACTTCACTACACTAGCATCTAGCTTCCTTTAATTTAGAGATTAGAGAAAATTGATGGTGAATCTTGCCATGGTGCTTGCTAAATTAGGCCAATAAATAGCTGTGGAGGTCATTAATTGGCCTCCTTCAATCATTCATTCACAGACATTTATTAAGCACTTACTCCTGGCCAGGCGATACACTGAGCACTGATGATGATAAATGAGACCGAGTTTTAATTCAGCAACAGGTTTAAAACACTATTTCCTTCTAAATGCAAATCAAAATCTTCCTTCCCCTGTTTTCCTCTGTGTTTTTTATACTCATTTTTTCCTGATGTGAACTAGTTATTTCTCTTTAGAAGAGGGTTAAATGAGATAACATTTTTATAAATTAGCTTAATAGGTCAATTGTAAGGGATGATATTTCACAATTTTGGGGAACTAATATATGACTTAAATAATAAAGTCAACATTATAACATATTTAGGGCTGGATGCTAAACCGACTCTTGAGAAGAAAAAACAGAAGTTTCAGAACACCAATAACCAAAAGCCAGGAATGTAAATTCGACTCAGTAACAGACACAGATCCCATATTTGGAATATCTTACTGCCCATTTAGTGTAGATCTATACTCTGGTTACTTAAAAATGTATATGCTGAGACATTAAAATTCTCTTTTTTTTTTTTTTTTTTTGAGACAGAGTCTCGCTCTGTCGCCCAGGCTGGAGTGCAGTGGCTGGATCTCAGCTCACTGCAAGCTCCACCTCCCAGATTTACGCCATTCTCCTGCCTCAGCCTCCCGAGTAGCTGGGACTACAGGCGCCCGCCACCGTGCCCGGCTAGTTTTTGCATTTTTTAGTAGAGACGGGGTTTCACTATGTAAGCCAGGATGGTCTCGATCTCCTGACCTCGTGATCCGCCCGTCTCGGCCTCCCAAAGTGCTGGGATTACAGGCGTGAGCCACCGCGCCCAGCCAACATTAAAATTCTCTTAAATGTATTTTAGAACTCTAAAAATTGACACCTTTCACACTTGACTGGATAGATTTAGAAAAATTTGCCCTGAAGCAACTGGCCAGAGCTCTATTTTCTGATGATCTATGATTTATTTAAAATTATTAGTGTTAATAGATAAATAAATTGAACTTTATCAAAATTTTTAAACTTTTGTGTTTCAAAGAATTCCACCAAAAAAGTAAAACGACAGCCTATAGACTGGGAGAAAAATCTTTGCAAATTCATATTATTTCTGATAAGAGACCCGTATCCAGAATATATAAAAAGCTCTTACAACTCAATAGTAAAAAGCAATTACCACTACTAATTTATTGAGCTTTAATAGTCCTACATCTTCTGGTGTCTTCCTGAGACAAATGTTTGCCCAGACATAGGGTAGGAGGACAATTTAGGCCAGTTGAAAATCTCTTTCTAATTTTGCACAAGCTGAATCAGTTCATCCCGGCCATTCTCCTGGTCAGAAGGGAGTGATGGTGGATATGGTGGCACTTAAGGCTTTTGCAGCCACCTCTTTGCTCTTTTCTGGCCTGGTCCCTGTTCTCTCCTCCAAGTGCACCATGCTGTCCAGACAAGGTGGCCAGTCCTGTTGCTCCCCCAGACCACATCCTTCTCATGACATTCTAGCCCTTTCTCATGACATTGCAGCCCTCTGGAATATGGACTTCCCACCCTCCCATTCACCTGCCCGCTCACCTGGTGAGCTTACTCTTTGATGCCCAGCTCAAACCTAGCTTGAAGAATTGGTGGCACCTTCATCTGAGTGTCATAGCATTTTTCTTATACCTCAGAGTAAACAATTACATGTCATTATATGGTATTTAAGTCTGTCTCCTTAGATAGCCCCTAAGTCCCTTGAGGACAGGGAGTGTATCTCATTCATCTATTTGTCCTCAGTAGTACTCAGTGCCCAGCCATAGTAGGTGTTCAATAAATGTTTCAGTGATTGAATCATTGGCCTGGGTGGAGCCTCATCTTTGAAGTGAAAGGTGGGGAGAGGTATAAATGGTTGCGAAATACCTGGCTATACGGGTCTGACTCTATCTTGTATATTTCAAAGTGAGGAAAACAGAAACATGCTGCAATTGAAGGCACTTTGTATTCCTAAGGGGAAGGACTTGGTGACCACACAGGTTCCTAGACTTAACCTTCAGATCGGAGAAACCTCTGCTAATTGCCAGCTGCTGCCATCATGCTTGAGAGTGATTTGTATTTGGGTTTGCCTAGCCCGCTCCTTTACACGCTTGGGATTTAACCATCTGACAACTGATCCTGAATCCTGAGCAAGCAGCTTTCCATCCCTTCCAATGTCGGCTCCCTCTAATCGATTTGCTGCGAGCTCACAGCTTTCAATGCATGCCATTGGAATGACGCACCTGACCGCTAGCTGCTTCTAACCCAGCTCCACCTGAGTTCAAATCTCTGTGATGGAAAACTAAACCTGATATCACCTTTGCAAGTCAAGTTGATAAATTGAGTGTGTTTCTTTTGTTTCTCCTTTTTGATGAACCTCCTTCCAATCTGTTGTTTTGAATTTTTATTACGCTTGCTTTGTTTTCTTTGTTTCTCTCTTCCTTCTCTCATTTTGTTTTTTCCATTCTTCTCATTGGAGGCAATGAGCCGTCCAGCGGCCGGAACTCCCCTCTCCCTTACCGGCCAGACAGCCGCCCTCTAACTCCAACTTACGCTCAGGCCCCTAAACATTTCCATGTTCCAGGTAGGAGCTGACACAGTCTGTGTCTTGGTGTCCTGTCACAGTGTAGAATGTAGCCTTGTAACCTCGTCTCGTCTCATCTCTCATGCTCTTTTAATTGGGATGCACAGTTAACAAACCCTAAATTGCAGGATCTGACCTAGGGGGCCTTTCAAAAGTTTTATGTGTTAAATGCCAGGATTACCTTGAAGGTTTATGTTTTCTCAAATAATTTTTGAAGAGTGTGGGTGATGGGTAAAAGCAGTTGAGTTGTGTTGTTTTGCTTTTTAGTAAAATTTTCATTGCACCATTTGATCATTGCCTTCTGAGGTGCCTTTCTGTGGTTTGCTGTCATTGACTAATTATAGCAATGGCAATCTAGTTATCTTCCCGTCCAAAAGATTGGACCACAGTATCACCTGAGAATACTTTTCTATTTCCTGTTTTTCTCTAACGTGGAGACTTTCTCCAAGGACTTTTCAGAAAGATGTAGAATTGGGTGAATTGGTTGGTCTTTCTGCAGCGCATCATAGACTAGCCACCTCCACAGCCCATGAAGATATCTTGCAATTTAGGCTTGGTGCTGCAAGCTTTGCTCTAGTAGTCACAAGCATTTGCTGTCATAATACAAATAGTAATTTGACATCAGAAACTGAAATAATCAGAGCCCATTAATATCATATCTTAATGTTTAGAATCAGCTCACTTTGTAAGGACAGGATTAGCTGTCAGAGGTAATAATATTCTATTTCTACCAGCAGTTTATTGTTTTTTGCTTTGTTTAGCTACTGAAAGTAGTTTAATAAATTACCCACTATATTAACATAAGTGTACATATTTAGAATCTATAATCATTTTTTTTTCTTTCGCTTCTCAACTTAATAAAACAGAGGAAAGTTCACTGAGCTTTATATCACTTAGTCGGGACTGTCCTTTCTAAAAACGTTTAATTGAATCTTGAAAATTAATGTTCTATGTTTGGGATTTTTCACATAAAAATGCCCCACCAAGATACAGTGCCCACGGTTCTGGGGAAACAGAAACCTTTTGAAATTTCCTGAGTATTTATAGTTAAAGCAAAATGGTTCCATAATCCAATGGGGTCTTGTAAAATATATAAATAGTGTTTCGCATCTCTTTTCTTTTTCATTCATTCATTCTTTTTTTAAAAAAATTGGCCTGTATAAATTAGGATTTGTTGAACATCCCGTCAGTACACAAGGCTAGCCTTGAACATAAAAAGTTTCTATGTCTTTTTTTTTTTAAAAAAAAAAAAAAAACCTTTTGATTTTTCTACATTGCTTTCCACTGTTCCACTCATTAGTTGAAAAGTAAATTGAGCCACTGGTATCTACTGGGGGCTCAATTTCTAGACAGTAGCAATTTGGGGATTTCCCCCAAACTGGTTATGTCTTTCTCACCATAAGAGTACCTCCACTGCTTGCATTTCTTCCTGTTTTAATCCCACTTTCAATGAAGTGTGTATTTGAAATAAATGGCTCATGAGTTAATCACATCTTTATATATCCTAAGATGTATTACAAAGGCTTCCATAACACTTGCATATAGTAAGCCACTCATTTCTATAATTTTTCTTCCAATAAACTCAATCTTTGTAATACAGAAATTAACCTTCTGGATTATTTTTGTTCAAGATCTTCAGTTTGATTTGCCGTTTGGTTGATCTGTTTTTCCCATCGCTGAACTGGTTCCCATAATCACACACCTTTGCTTTTCATTTCCACAGATCAAGGGATCAACATTTACCGAAAACCACCCATCTACAAACAGCATGGTAAAACCCGCTTTCCTCTGCGTAGCTTTTAAATAGCAAAGTCAGCCGAACTTCTCCTTGCTGTCCTCTGAAAGGCTTTTCCTGCTGCTGCTTTTGAGAGTAAAACTGGTGCATCCAGCATATTATGCCTTTCTGGTCTACTAAGATGTAAATATTGTGAAATTGATTTTCCTGGATGGAGAGCACTTAGCTTGATTAGAAAGCTTCTAACTTGTTTCTGAGCCCATGTGTCATTCCATTCCTAGAGAGGGGGAAGTACTGGTCACACAGCAACTCACAAACATCCTAGCAAGACTTTTTTATATTTTGCCATCAAATATAGTCACCCTTTAAAATAATTTTGATGAGACTAATTTAAACTAGTGAAAAATCAGCCACCTAGAAAAACTAATTTGACTGAGCCTACATCAACTGGGCTGTCCAGGTCTCCGGTTTCTTATTGGGTATGAAGATGTCTGCACAGTGGAGTGGACAGGATACAAGCTAACACAGAGGTCGAGGCCCTGGTCCCACTTTCTCCCTGAATGGCTCTGTGACGTCATTTCTCTGTGCTTCAGTTTTCTCTTCTGTAAAAACCAGTTAGTTAGATCAGTTTGTCTCTGAACTTCCTGCAAACTAAGAATCACTAACGTGTATGTATAATTCAGTTTTCCTTTTTTTAACTCAGGAACTCACATGACTTTATGTAAATCACATTTTCCTCCACCGTTATTAAGTCTCTATAGATATATTGACCATAAATCTTTGTGAAAAGATATCCAAAGCTGGTCTTCAGGTGATTTCAGAAAATTCTACACAAATTGTGCCTGGAAATTTGAAGGCTGCCTTTAGAATCCAGCTGACGTACATGAGTCCTTAAGAGTTAGGATAACATGAGGCCAGGTGCAGTGGCTCACACCTGTAATCCCAGCACTGTGGGAAGCCGAGGCGAGTGGATCATTTGAGGTCAGGAGTTCAAGACCAGCCTAACCAACATGGTGAAACCCTGTCTTCTGTATTAAAAATACAAAAAAAATTAGCTGGGCATGGTGGCACACACCTGTAATCTCAGTCACTTGGGAGGCTGAGGCAGGAGAATCACTTGAATTCAGGAGGCAGCGATTGCAGTGAGCTGAGATCACACTACTGCACTCTCCAGCCTGGGTGACAGAACGAGAGTCTGTCGCCCCCCTCCAAAAAAAAAAAAAAAACAAAAAGAAAGAAAGAAAAGAAGGAAGAATTAGGATGACGTGAAAATCAAATAACATTGAAAATGCACAAGGAAAAAACTTTTAGGCCAGAATCAGGAAGACAAAGAGAAATGTATATATCATAATGGTTCTAGAGCTTTGATTTTTTTTCTCATCTTTTTTTTTTTTTTTTTTTTGAGGTTTTAAACCATACGCTTGCTTTTTAAGTTTGTTAACATTGTTTTTGTTTTTGTTTTTTATGGTTTAATGTCTTTCCACACACTCATTAACATGTGAATGTTTAACTACTGACTTCACCAATTCTAATGCGTAAGTACTGTTTGAAGTCATCCTTTTGTTATTAATGTAAGAATAAAATTATCAGAGTTTGATGTGTCAACTTAGAGACTTTGAAAAATCCTATCTTTAGGTCCTCCTCTCTGAACAAAAATAATCAAATAATTAAAATTTAAGGAGATTGGATAATGTTAGATTATTTGTTTGGAAGGAATTAGTTGACTTCTTTTCATAATATTTACTTTGACTGAAATCTTTCAGTCTGTTGTAATTAATTAAAAATAGCCCAGCCAGAGCAGTGCTTTCCAAGGGATGTTTTTGCAAAACAGCCATTCCATGCCAAAGAAATAGTTGTTATGCCCAAAACTGGTGTCTGTGCCCTGATGCATTTGAGAAGGGCTAGATTTAATTAAAGTCACATTTGTTCTTCATAATGCAGAACTTCTGAGAACTTCTTATATGCTAACATGTTTTGTCCATCTTTAAAAAGGGGATTTTGTATGTAGTGTTTTCCAAGTTAAAATGTTTTTCTCATGAGGTTAGAGATTCAGAGAAACACTGTTTAATGCCTGGCCAAGACTTTACCTCCTAAATTGGGCACAGTGGCCTGCACCCATAGTCTCAGCTACTTGGGAGGCTGAAGTGAGAGACCCACTTGGGTGCAGGAGTTAGAATCCAGCCTGCACAACATAGCAAGACCCTGTCTCCGAGGAAGGGGGAAAAGACTACCCCTTTGTACTGGGTGACCTTGGTTGAGTTATTTAAGCAAATTGAGACCCAGAAGGTTACTCAAAAAATGGAGGACTTAGAGCTGAAGATTCAAAAGGTTATTTCCAGATTTTAAATATGTAAACCCAGAAGAAAACAGTTATTTAAGGCATTATAAATACATTTTGAAATATTTAGTGTCATCCCTGGCCAATTTGCAAAATTAGCCAGAATCAGGGACTGTCCATTTAACCTGGTTTGTTTTGCTCCATCTCTGTAGGTTAGATTTGGGGCTCTAAGCTGTGACTCCTCCTCTAAGCATAGCCATTAAGAACTTTGTGAACTAATATTGCTGTTAGTTTGGCTTTTGTTGTTTTAAAGTTGGATACCTCACTTGTGTGCACAGACCTTTGAACAAAACAATGAGTGGGAATGGCAAACATAAGTTTCAATGCCAAATTCCTGCAAGCTGAAAGTGGATTTTCCAATTTCCATTTCTCCTAGGACTCAAGGACACATGTATTTAGTATATAAGGATTAGAATGAAGTGGACCAGACCAGATGTGGTGGCCCACGCCTGTAATCCCAGCACTTTGGGAGGCCGTGGCGGGCAGATCACCTGAGGTCAGGAGTTCGAGACCAGTCTGGCCAGGAGAAACCCTGTCTCTACTAAAAATGCAAAAATTAGCTGGGCATGGTGGTGCATGTCTTTAATCCCAGCTACTTGGGAGGCTGAGGCAGGAGAATCCCTTGAACCCGGGAGACGGAGGTTGCAGTGAGCCAAGATTGCATCACTGCACTCCAGCCTGGGCAACAGAGTGAGACTCTGTCTCAAATAATAATAATAATAAAAAATAATAAAAGAATGAACTGGACCAATACATTTGTGGCTTCTTGCCCAAAGATGCAAAGCCAGCCAACCCTCTAATGATTAACAACTGCAGTCAAGTGAGAGCATCATGCTTTCAACTTAGCTCTTTAATTTTAGATTACTAATTACTCTAGGAGAGTGTTGTCCACTGGAACTTTCTCTGAGGATGGAAATGTTCTATATCTGCACTGGCCAGGACAGTAGGCACTAATCACATGTGACTACTGAGCAATTGAAATATGGCTAGTGAAACTGAGGAGCAGAATTTTAATTGTATTAATTTTTTGTTGTTGTTTAAATAGCCTCATCTAGCTTGTGCTGGGCAGCACTCTAGAATAGGATTTTTCAGATGTAGAACATGTGTAGGATGAAGCTTTGCTTCGGACGTAAAGTAAGGAAAATGAGTTGACTTGTCAATAGGTACCTCTGAGTGACTGGGCCATGGATAATGGTAATAAACAGAACTTTCTGGAACTGAAACTTTTGCCAGAGAACAAGAAAACTATATAAGTGGGGCTGTACCACCATTGTCTTACAGACCAATAGCTAAGCACCCCCTGATTCCCATCTAGATGCAGCTGCCTTGGCAGCCCAGAGCAAGTCCTCAGAAGAGATCATCAAGTTTTCCAAGTTCCCAGCAGCCCAGGCACCAGACCCCAGCGAGACACCAAAGATTGAGACAGACCACTGGCCTGGTCCCCCCTCATTTGCTGCCGTAGGTATGCAACTGTCACGGCTAAGTCAAAGGGACAAACTGCTAAGGGAGCTCAAGATGAGATGCTTAAAAACATGCAAGAAAATGTATCCTATCGTGAAGATTTTTAAGAAAAGTATGACCAAGAGATAGCATAGTGAAAAGAGCTAACGTGGTATTAACTTGTTGTACAAAACGCTTAAAAGTTACAAAAACACATCCACCAGAGTCTTGTTCTAACTAAACCCACTGGGATCCAGAACTGGTCTAAAACCAATGGTTTGCATGGACTCTCAGAGTTAATACTGCAAAATCAATAACTCTGTTGAACATAGTTGAGCCAAAGCCTTATAGCAAGAACATTGTTCTATATAATTAGAGTCTAGTGGGTGAATTTACCAAATGTTTGTAGAAGCATGACTTCTTTCAGTTAAATTTGTTTTAGACTATTTCTGGGTTGTAGTTATAATTCTTAACAACCAATCTTAACACTGAAGCACTTACATTTTTCTTGTGAGATCATGTTCTCCATCATGAAAAAGGGCTATTGCAGAGTAGTGGGTGTTCTGAAATATTACTTCTGTGAAGTTATGTGATTTTACATCTACCATTTTCATGAATTCTGTGCTAAAATGTCATATTTCAGCTGTTTCATTCTTTGCTTCATGCTTTGCAATTATGTCTGTGTCTTTACTATATTGTCAGTAGTGAACCCACTCGGCCTAAAAAGAAGTATTAGCAAACCCAGAAACTAATACTGAAAATTTAGCGAGTCAGCTTTACAAGGATATGATCTTATCACACTTCTGTTGACAACCTAAAAGGCCTTCAATTTTCCAAAATGTCCTAATCTTCATTGTGCTATTTTTTATCAAGATATTTTTGGAATATCTTTCACAAGCAATACAAGTGGATTTTAAATCAATTGATATTTATAGAAAGAGTTTAAGGAAAATCTACCTCCTAAGTTCATTATCCACAAGTGTTCTGTACATTATGTTAATGAAATTTATCTAGTCCTTGCAAACTTGTGCCTATTGATTTTCATTAGTGTAAACGAAAGAGAGAAACTTCACATTGACATTTATAATTGTAAGGACTAAGAACCAGTCATCAGCTTTCCTATGCCAGTCCATGCCCTTCAGGAAGTTCTTGAGGCCTTGAGGTTGCTAGTTTAGTAAATTGCTTACTAGGACATTAAAGCAGCTACATTTTGGAAAGAGGAAGAATTAAGTTTTTGTTGTTGAATTTATTATCGCTAAGTAGTTTAAAGCTCTTTTGGATTCCAAAAGGAGGAAAATTTCAGGTCCATTAATCAAAATGCTGAAAACTAGGACTATTAGTTAAAGTTTATTTTGATTAGATTAGCAAACTTTCCTGTTTCCTCCCACAGCCAGATTAATCCAAGCAATTTAGGAAAAACAATAATTATCTTAACCTCCCAACCATTCAGACAGATTCCTCCTTTCCTTTCCCTGTCTCCCCTTTTCCAGAAAGCTAAAACATTGCAGACGATTTACTATATTGTTCCAAAGTAAAATTATACCTGTATTAATGCTTTTTATTTACCTATTAGTATAAAATTCTTTTGTGACCATTTTTCAAAGGATGAGAAAAAACATTAGAGACCCATTTCTTGAAAGAAATAGTAAAAGTATGCTTTTTATTGAATTTACTAAGAGTAGAAGACAGAGTAATAGTATTATGAAGTTCTAAATATTCAGAAAAAGAGAAAACTACAAGATTTGAACACATGTCACAAAACAATGACTATCTTACCTATCTGTTGGTATGTAGATAAATTTGCATTTCTTTCTATTTGAAAATTGAGGCTGGGCGTGGTGGCTCACACCTTTAATCACAGCAGGAGGATTAGTTGAGCCCTGGAGTTTGAGATCAGCCTGGGCAATATAGTGAGACCATGTCTCTACAAAAATATTTAAAAATCAGTAGGGTGTGGTGGCATACACCTGTGGTTGCAGCTACCCAGATGGGTGAGGTGGGAGGATTGCTTGAGCCTGGAGGTGGAGGCTGCAGTGAGCCATGCTTGCATCACTATACTCCAGCCTGGGCAACAGAGTGAAACCTTGTCTCAAAAAAGAAAGGAAAAAGCAAATTGACTTCAAAGACATCAAAATAACAACTGGAGATGCCCTTCCCATTTGCTAAAGTGATCTCTGACCAGTAGACTTAGACTAAGTTGCAATGGCAAACCCAGTTCTAATTGAGCAGGGAAGCCTAAATTCAGGCCTTCCTTGCATTACACATTGACCTGGCTTGTCACACAGGGCCATTTTCTTGAGAAACCAGTCAGTAGTGCTGAATTGGTGGCAGGCATTTTTTTTTCTTCTGTTGTTTACTTAAAAGCGTTAAAGTCTACTGCCGACCTTGCCAGCTTAACAAATTGAACACAGATGGACTAGCCCGTTAAGATTCCCTTGTCTTGGGACTGATGTGAGAAGTTGTCTTTGCTATGGAATTAGGACCTGACATGAGACGCAGATCTAGTGGCAGAGAGGAAGATGACGAGGAACTTCTGAGACGCCGACAGCTTCAAGAAGAGCAATTAATGAAGGTTTGTCCTTAAACTACCTTGCTGCTGTCTTCAATTCTAGTTACATAAGATCTGTATTTCTTGAATGACTACTACGTATAAACCCCCTAGATAAGCAAGAGGTGGTCCCATTCTTCAAAGGGCTTGAAGTCTGGCAGGCAAAGCAAGACAGGTATCTGTTAATAGTAAATGGAATATGGCAGAATACGTGCTGGGCTCTAGATGCTAGAGGTCAGAGGGGCGTGGAAGGTTTGGGTTTTTGTGGGAAGGAAAGTGAGACCACATGGGGGCGTGTGTACAGCGCATGTGTTGAAAGGCTGCTGGAGGGCCAGGTAGAGCAAGCTGGTATCCACCAAGGTAGTGCCACACCTTCCTTCCCTCGTGCAGTTCTGCTGAAGGAGTGATTGTGGGATTGAACATTTCTCCAAGTCTTTTCCCAGGATATGGGCCAGGAGAAAAGGAATGAAAGGAACTGCCACCATGAAGGGGTCCTCTTCATACCCTCCTTCCTGTGGCAACGGCCTGCAGCAGCCCAGGAGGACAGTCAGTTATAAACTCTCCCACCAATCAAGAGGCTGCTGAATCCTTTGAAATGATGTTTTCTAAGCATATAGGAAATGCACATGATATTAGTCAAAGGATACAAAGTTGCATTTATAGTATGATCTCAGTTTTATATGTGTGTATACAAAAATACTAGATAGATATAAATCCAAAGATAGTGTTATTTCTGAGTGACATACTATGGGTTACTCTTTTCTTCTAGATTTTCCAAAATCTGTAAAATTGGCATGTATTACCTTTATTTCTTGTTTTTAAACAAATCAAGGCAATTTCTTTTCCAAGCATACCATCCCCAGTCTTCCCTTCCCACATCAAAAATCCACACGCACTCACACATGCCTTCTGAGGTCTCCTGGCTCTTTAGGGAAAGCAGAGGAAGGAAAACATTCTTCTAACATAGAGCCTGACTTAGGGAAATGGAGCTTTGAAACTGAAAGGGCTAAGAAGGTTTAGGGTCCCAAACTTGACGTACCTCTTCAGGAACTACCAGGCTCTGGGGCCACATGCATTGAGGCCCTCCAGCATGAGGAACTTCTTGTGGGATCTGCTACAAAGAAACTGTAGCTCCATGAAAGTAATTGGAGTCTTTGCTTTCTTTTTTTTTTTCTTTTTTCTGTGAATAGCTTAACTCAGGCCTGGGACAGTTGATATTGAAAGAAGAGATGGAGAAAGAGAGCCGGGAAAGGTCATCTCTGTTAGCCAGTCGCTATGATTCGCCCATCAACTCAGGTGAGCAGCAAAGCCCCCAACCTTCCCTGATTTGAGAGCCAGCCACCTGCCTGTCAGGAACCTGCCTCTGACTGTTCACTTGTGGCGGAACCTACAGAGTATTCCCCGGGAAAGGAAGTGTGGGAAACCCACTCCATGTCAAATGAGCTCATAAGCATGTCATGGGTCTTCCATAAATGTGTGAGTTTCCTTTCTTCTGGAAATGGGTGAGCCCTTGGAGGTTCTCCACATCCATGAAGGTCAATCCCCATATGCTAGATTTGTCTTCTAGAACACTCATCTCCAAGGGAAGCAGCAAGAGGAAATCCTCTAAAAAACATGATGCTTTTTTTTTCTTTTTTTTTTTTTGAAGATAACATGAATAAGACATTTTCTAAGCATTATGATTTTACATTAATATATTCAATAGAGGCCGAGTGCGGTGGCTCACGCCTGTAATCCCAGCACTTTGGGAGGCCAAGGCGGGCGGATCACGTGAGGTCAGGAGTTCGAGACCAGCCTGGCCAACTGGCGAAACCCTGTCTATACTGAAAATACAGACATTAGCCAGGTGTGGTGGTGGGCTCCTGTAATCCCAGCTACTCAGGAGGCTGAAGCAGGAGAATTGCTTGAACCTGGGAGGCAGAGGTTGCAGTGAGCTGAGATCACACCATTGCTATCCAGCCTGGGCAACAAGAGTGAAACTCCATCTCAAAAAAAAAAAAAAAAAAATCTTCAATACAAGAACTGAGGATGAACAGTGTTTTTAATACTTTTGAAGAAGATGACTATATACTGGGCTGAAATAGTCTATCAGTGTATTTTCCCCTGTATCTATTTATCATAAGCCGATTCTCTCTTAACCCACAAGATTTCTTCTCTCATATTCTGAGCTACAGCATAATTTTCTCCTCTAAGACTTCCTTTAAAAATGCATTTAGTAGGGAGACCGAGGTGGGCAGATCACTACATGAGGAGATTGAGAACATCCTGGCTAACACGGTGAAACCCCATCTCTACTAAAACATACAAAAAAATCAGCCAGGTGTGGTGGCGGGCACCTGTAGTCCCAGCTACTCGGGAGGCTGAGTCAGGAGAATGGCGTGAACCCGGAAGGTGGAGCTTGCAGTGAGCTGAGATTGCGCCACTGCACTCCAGCCTGGGTGAGAGTGAGACTTCGTCTCCAAAAAAAAAAAAAAAAAAAAATTGCATTTAATGTTCACTCCATGCAAGCACTTTTGCTAAACATTTTATTTAATGTTCACAACATGCCAATGAAGTCGATGTGGTTATTATTAGCAACTGCAGCATTTTCATCTCTAGTTTAGAAATCAGGAGACGGGTATAGAAATTGAGTTAACATACCCAATGTCATACTGCCAATGACTAGCAAGACTAGGATTTAGAAGTCCACATATTATAACCCCGGAGCCCACACCCTTACCTGGAATTCCCGCTACCCTTCATCAATGCCTCACTGGCATTGATCTTGGATTCGGTGGTTTACAGATCTTTAGAGCTCCTTCTAATAATGAGATTCTGCTCTATAAGAATGTATAACATTATATCTACATAGATGAAGAAATGAAGACTTCAGAGGCCGGGCGCGGTGGCTCACGCCTGTAATCCCAGCACTTTGGGAGGCCGAGGTGGGCGGATCATGAGGTCAGGAGATCGAGACCATCCTGGTTAACACGGTGAAACCCCATCTCTACTAAAAATACAAAAAAAAAAAAAAAAAAAAAATTAGCCGGGCATGGTGGCAGGCGTCTGTAGTCCCAGCTGCTGGGGAGGCTGAGGCAGGAGAATGGTGTGAACCCGGGTGGTGGAGCTTGCAGTGAGCCGAGATCATGCCACTGCACTCCAGCCTGGGTGACAGAGCGAGACTCCGTCTAAAAAAAAAAAAAAAAAAAAGGAAATGTAGACTTCAGAAAGATTAAACGCCATGTCCAGAGATACAGAGGTATTAAGTTGCAGAACCAGAATTCAAGCCCAGGGCTGCTCCCTCTCAAGCCCAGCAGCCTATGAGGCTTCCATGCTGTCGACAGATACCCTGTATCAGGCCTCCCAGGAGTCCAACTGTAGATGGCTGGTAGATCTTGATAACATACAGCGTTGGCTTCCAGTTCAGTTACTGCCACCTTATCAACTGGGGCATGGGCTAATGTATTCAGATATCCCTGATTTACATCATTGCTCAGCTGTTTAGAAGCTTAATAACTTTTGGCAGGATATTTTTCTTAGCCCCTGTTTCTCCTTCTGTAATATAGAACTAATAATAATAGTGTTATTAGGGTTGTATTGAAGATTCAAAGAAATAAAGCGTGCTGAACACTTAGCTGCATACCAGAGCTGTAGGAAGCACAGCTAGCTTCAGCCCCCACTCAACTGCACAGACTTCTTTCCCTTCCCTCCTCAGTCATATCACTGTCCACCCACTCCTTGCAAATATGGTAGCATTTTTTTGAACATTTGAGCCATGAATGTTTTTGGTATTTCTATCCTGTGAGGTAGAAGATACTGCCGATTTCATTAAAGGATTGGACCTTCTGATTTCCTAACAATCGGTTTTTTACTTTTTTTTTACTCAGCTTCATATATTCCATCATCTAAAACTGCATCTCTCCCTGGCTATGGAAGAAATGGGCTTCACCGGGTAAGATTTCTCCCCGATTTATTGTTTCTGCCTTTACTCCCACCTCGGCCCTGGTTGAAGTATCGACACATTGCCTGAATACGTCTGACTCTTGATGTCAGTGTTGGAACATAATGAAAATTTTAACCTCCCTGGTCGTCTGGTAAATTAATTTGAGCTATAGGCAAAATAAAATGTTTCTATTGAGAGAAGGAGAAATTAACTTTAGATAAAAGAATGATTTATGTATGCTTATGGGAAAACTAGGTTGCAAAACTGGTAAATATTTTTTACAATGAAAGAAAAAGTAATTACTTGAGCCATTATCTCTGCTGTAAAAAGATATAAGAATGTGTGTGATAACCAACCTAACTGTAGAGCAAATACAATCATGTAACTATGTAGGGAAATGCATTTTTATTTATCAACAAGAGATCCCTGCTTACCAAGAGCCTTCTGAGCGGTGCATTAGTACACGACTGTAAAAGACCGAGAGGGCATAGCAGTAGAAGAATCACAGGGAAAAAAATAATGAAGGGCCCGGCATTTGGCTTGGGAAGAATTCCTAGGATTTTGTAAACCCTTTCTTCCTTTTCACCTGACTCCAAAACGATCGCTATGGAGATTTCCTAATAATTGTGTTTCCTCATTTCAGCCTGTTTCTACCGACTTTGCTCAGTATAACAGCTATGGGGATGTCAGCGGCGGAGTGCGAGGTGAGTGAGGCTCCCATGGCCAGGCTGAGCATGGCCACGTCTTCCCTCGAGGCTGAGGTTCATCAGAGTCAAATATACTGGCTGTGTTCATGCTGTACTGCAATCTTAGAGTAGGATCACTTCTGTCTCCTGTGAGCTAATAGGGCAATTATTTACATAATTTCAAAGAATGTCTAATGAAATCAAACTATAAGAAGAAAGTTTGTGAGAATTTATTCATTGCTCATACTATGTGCTGAGCACTCTATCATATACCTAGAGGCCAGGCACGGTGGCTCATACCTGCAATCCCAACACTTTGGGAGGCTGAGGCAGAAGGATTACTTGAAGCCAGGAGTTCTAGACTAGCTTGGGCAACAAAGTGAGGCCCGTCTCTACTAACAACAACAACAACAACAACAAATGATAATAATTAGCTGGTGGCACATGCCTGTAGTCGTCCCAGCTACTTGGGAGGCTGAGGCAGGAGGATTGCTTAAGCCCAGGAGTTCAAGGCTGCAGTGAGCTATGTTCATGCCACTGCACTCCAGCCTGGGTAACAGAGCAAGACTGTCTCTTAAAAAAAAAAAAAAAAAGTAACTGGAGCTACAACAGTGAGTGAGACATGGCCCCTGCCCTGAAAATGCATATGGCAGAAGGAAAGAAGTTCTGTGTGATGAACATTGTGATCAGCGATGTAGAGAAAAGGAAGCAGTAAGTACCTTTAGGTTGTCAGCAAAAGCTTCCAGGGGAAAAGGATGTTTTAACTGTTAACTAACACTGGAGCAGGCATTTCATGGCTTCAGGGAGGCTGAAGGGATAACATGTGCAGAGTCTGGGAGCAGAAAAAGAACATGGTTTATAGGGAGAATATGTTGGGAATTTCAATATAATACAGTCTATGAATAGTGCCTTGTTTTCCCATGGTCTTTCCCTTATGATATTTTCTTTTCCTTTCCTTTTCAGATTACCAGGTATGGAACACTTTGTCTTTCTTGAATTGGCCACACCAGCAGAACAACCACATTCCAACCCAGACTGCTGGTTCCAAGGCAACAGTTTCTGTTGAGAAGATGCTTGTTGCGGTTGATCTGTCTAGTCATTACTCTATAGTCGTGAAGAGCAGGCATGCCTGGTGCCTGGGTCCAGCTGTCCCTGCAGGCCTTGGGGACACCGCATGAACCAGGCCAGGTGTAGGGGGTCTTTCTTGCTTTGGCCTTGGAGAGTCCTCTCTGGGGTGGAAGTGGACCCTTGGAAGAGTCTGCTCTTATACAGTTTTTCTTCTTTTAATTATAATCTCTCAGTACTTTAGGCTACCCTTTTCCTGCGTGTTCTCAAATGAAAAGACACTTACGTCTTAGCCAATAGGAGAGAGCAGTTTGCCCTCATGACATTCCTTTCTCACTAGAACCTAAATCTTGTAAAACAAAACAAAACAAACAAAAAAAACAAAAAAAAACCAAGAAATGTGATGGGAGAATAAGAAAAGAGGAAAAATGTAGAGAAAATCAAGATTAAAGATAAGAAAATAACAATAATAGACTTGGGCTTCTTTTAAAGGTACTATATACTTTCCTTCATGGAGCCTAATTCAGGAATTTGTCCACAGCCATTAAGTCAAGATCTCACCCCAACTCGATTGCAAAAGAACTGTATTCCTGTTCTTATACAGTAAGGATCTCATTTTGAAAAATACATGGTCATTTAGATGACACAAATAAAATAGTGGTTAGGATCGGAGACCCAAGAGGGAGTTGGGAGCCCAAGAGAGCCCCCTTCCGTTCCCTAGACTATTTCATGTGTCACTTGGAACTGGCATTTCTGTTGCAGACACTCCCAGATGGCCACATGCCTGCGATGAGAATGGACCGAGGAGTGTCTATGCCCAACATGTTGGAACCAAAGGCAAGTGCAGCTGTTCTTTTTCCTCTCATATGGGAATGACGTAACCCTAAACAGATTTGATGTTCTATCTTTTCATCATTCTCAAAGCGTTATAGGCTGGTGTGTTCAGGTGAGCCATGTTATGAATATGCACCTTGCCATTCTGCTGTTTTGCCCACATCAGTTCAGCAGGTTAAACCCTTACTGGGCGTGATACTGTGTGTTTACAGTGAGGCGCCAGTGCCTCTCTCCCTATGGCCAAGGTATTTTCTTGGCCTCTGCCATGTGCATTATGGAGCATATCCAGTGCTGAGTGGAGTGGCTGCAGACTACTCCATGTAGGGTGACCAACATGTCCAAGTTTGCCAGAACTGTCGCTGTTTCACCATTGAAAGCCCTGCATTTCAAGAACCTCAGTCCTGGGCACACTGGGATGCCTGGCCACCCTAGCTCCAGAGTACCCTGTACCTTCAGAGTTGTCCAAGGGCTCATGCTCCCTGGTGACCATAACCAGAGCTTATCTCAATATGGCAGTTGCCAGAGGACTGCTTCGGGGCCTGCCTGGCCCCATGGATTCATGACTAGTCATGGAACAAGATTGTTAACCCCAGCACAAAGGCATCCTGCCCTATAATAGCATCGTGTAAAAGGTAACACGTTGACTGGGCACAGTGTCTCATGCCTGTAATCCCAGCACTTTGGAAGGCCAAGGCAGGTAGATTGCTTGAGTTCAGGAATTCAAGACCAGCCTGAGCAACGTGGCAAAATCCCATCTCTACTAAAACTAAAAAAAATTGCTGGGCATGATGACATGTGCCTATAGTCCCAGCTACTCGGGAGGCTAAGGTAGGAGGATCACCTGGGCCTGATAGGTCGAGGCTGCAGTGAGCTGTGATCACACCGCTGCATCCAGCCTGGGCAACAGAGCAAGACCCTGTTTCAAAATAAAATAAAATAAAAATAAAAATAAAAACACATGTGCCTGTAATTTCCATTATCTTCTAACGTTCACCTGCATCCCAATACATAATAAGTTAGTGTTCTGCCACTCAACAAAGCCCCCTAAGGCTCAGTGCTACCTGAGACGCTGGTGGAGAGTTGAGAATGTCTAAGATTCTGTCCTGTCCCCTGGAAACTGGAGCTTCCACTGGCCTTGCAAAAGGAAGACCCATCACTCGGATTCTGTCATGACAGTCTCTTGGAAGCTCTGTCTTGGGAGTACTAGATTTAAGGCGGATTCTGCTTGTTAATCAAATGGACTGTGGTGTTCTAGAAGAGGTGTTTTCTTTCTTCTCAGATATTTCCATATGAAATGCTCATGGTGACCAACAGAGGGCGAAACAAAATCCTGAGAGAGGTGGACAGAACCAGGCTGGAGGTAAAGCAAAACAGAAAAGTCCAGTCCCAACTGCAGATCCCTATGCACTTCTCCCAACTGTCCCCTAAGCAGTGTTTGATTTCTTCGGTGAAAACAAAAAGATCAAAAAGATCACCCTCATGTCATAGGTAGAACTAAGAAATAACTTTGGAGAAAAAAAAAATCCAGGTTTTCACTTAGATCATCATAAAAATGCCTAGTAATATCCAGAAGAATGACCAAGAGGTGGACACAGTGGCTCATGCCCTGAGCCCCAACACTTTGGGAGGCTGAGGTGGGCAGATCACTTGAGGTCAGGAGTTCGAGACCAGCCTGGCCAACATGGTGAAACCCTGTCTCTACTAAAAATACAAAAATTAGTGGGGCATGGTGGCAGGCGCCTGTAATCCCAGCTACTTGGGAGACTGAGGCAGGAGAATTGCTTGAATCCAGGAGGTGGAGGTTGCAGTGAGCTGAGATCACACCATTGTACTCCAGCTTGGGCAACAGAGCCCGACTCCATCTCAAAAAAAAAAAAAAAGAAAGAAAAAGAGAAAAAGAGAAAAAGAATGACCCAGGAGACACAGAATGATTTCAGTCATGTTCTTTGAAACTTGATGTTGCCATAATTATAGCTGGTGATTCAAAATGGGAGTCTCTATTTCTCTTGAGATAGTCTCAGATCCTTATCTTCCCCTGAGCTGAGGTTGAGTTCATGGGAGGCTGTGGGAGCGGCAAAGGCTCTCAGCAGAGAGATTTATACTGATTTATACTGGACAAGTTTCCTTCTTGGCTGTTTCCACATTCCCTGTTGAAGGGTTATCTGGGTACACATAGCCAAGATCTCCTTAGACATGGAAGACTAATCTTTGTATTACAGTTTTCCATCCCAATGATTTTAATGAAGAAAAACCCTGGCTGCCAGTCTCAGAAAGAATGATTACTGTTTCCTGACAAAAGGCAGTACCTTGGTATAGAGATACAGAGAATAAAGGCTCCAGGATCTTGGGGGAACTTTTCTCAGGGAGAATGACAGATGGAAGTCTTCTCAGTAGAACAGACATCCACCTTACCTCCTATTCCTCAGCCAGGAGGAAGCCCCGGGGCTCCCCAGGGACCACGCTGGAGGTCATTTTCTTTGGCTTTCTATTGTGTTAGTCCATTTTCCCTGCATCTTCTCAACGTTCTAAGGACCTGGAGTGGAGTTGTCTCCAATGTAATAAATCACCTCTCTGTGTCCCATCACCGATCAGTGTTATTATTATAATCCCCATTAACACTCTGCCAGCTGTTTTATCTGACGGGAAGGGCTCCTCACCTGGCCCAACCAGGTAAGGAATACTGATGTCACAAGCATTAAAGATCAGCTCCTCTCCCGTTTTCCTGCCTTGTTCTTCAGAATGACTCTGTATAAACTGTAGAGCAATGCTCAAGGCCATTTGTGTGGCCATCAGGACTGACAGCTGCTCTTTTTTTCCTCTTCCCAGCGCCACTTAGCCCCTGAAGTATTTCGGGAAATCTTTGGAATGTCCATACAGGAGTTTGACAAGTTACCTCTTTGGAGACGCAACGACATGAAGAAAAAAGCAAAACTCTTCTAAGTCCCACTCATGAATGGCAATTAGAGAAAGGACTGACAGTGGCGGTGCCCCATAGGATGTCATACTGAGGCCCAAACTTGATTGGAAGATTTGCAAACTACCATCGCTCAGCAACGCCAAAAAGAGAAAGTCTGGTTAGAACACCCATGAGTCAAATGTTGGGCCAGCCAACAGTAACACTTGCCAAGAAGCATGACGTAGAAATTTCTATGTTCTGAAACACAGAGTAGTGTCCACGTGTGACCTTTTCACATACCTTATGTATACAACAGGAGCTGCATTGTTTTCTTTCTTTCTTTTTTTTCCCCCCTTTACCTGTTGTCCAACAACAGTGCTGACTGTCCTGATAAGAGCCAGCAAGTGTCCTTAGGATGCCGCATGGGAGAAATCGGTTGTCATAATTTCAAAGTATAAATATATTTATTATGTTGTGCTGTGGCTAAGAAGGAAGAGTGAGGGGTCTGTCCATGGGGCGGCAGTGACTTCACACCCGCCTTTCTTGACTGGCTTCATGTTACTCACCTGTGCCCTGGCAGGAATTGAACTCTGTCTGGGAACAGGGCAGCTCTGTTTGAATGGGGTGAATAACAGCAAAATTAATTCTTAACAAGCTCCTTGTTCTCTGCCGTTCACGGGGACCTGGTTGGCAAATGACTTAGCTATTAGTATATTTAAAAACTGTTCAAAAGCAAAAGAGAAGGAACAGGAATGAAAGGGAACCTTCCCTTAACTCTTTCTGCTTCCCATAGCAGGTCTGGTTCCTGCTCCTCACCTAGGACAGGAGCTGTCTGGAGCTCCACCTTTGCAAAGAAAGGAAAAACACAAATTGCCTCCAGACTGGCCCAGTGGCATGCCATTAGGTGATTTTGCCTCGGGGCCATATCGCTCATGGCCAAAACACAAAACAAAACAAAAGCCAGTCCCATGTCCTACTGACTCTAGTTCTTCCGGTCGTTATCCTCTGCTGCCTCTCTGGCATCCTACGAATCAGATCAAGCCCATGCTGTTGTTGGTTTGTAAGGTTTCTTTCAATAATAATAGGCTAAGGAAAGACATGTTTTTCTCTTTTAAATCTCTACAACTCTGAAGTAGACTCCTTCAAACAGATTTAATTTGGCCTTTTCAGCTTTCTTCTTGCCCGGTTCTGTGGACTTCGTGGGTGTGTGCACGTGTGTTGGTTTCACTCACCCAGAGCAATTTTGGGAGCGTGCTTGTGCTTTTTAATTTCCGCTTGAATGTCCCACTGTGTTGCAGTTTCTAAAGACATTTTCACTGAATGTGTATGACGCAAAGATAAAGAGTGAGGCTAAACTGCGCCCCCAACATCACTTCCTTCGTGGAAAGGTGTTGGCGCTGATGTAGCTCATGGCAGGATCAGACTGAGAACCACAAAGGAAGGATGAGGCGGGGTGTGGAGGTCAGAGCATCTCACCAGAGTCCCTCGGAGTCTGCAACACTAGATTCGAATTTGAGCCTAGGGTATCCCCAACACATGCATGCACGCAAAACCACATCATGATTCCCGACGTGAGTTAGATGAGGGAGAGTTTGTGTAACTCCACACCCAGGAGGGTAAGCCACTTTATTATCGTGCTTTGGGGCTGTGCTTAAGAATTTAAACTCTGTTTTAAAGCCAAAGAAGAAAGTATTTGAATTTACCTTCATATTCCACTAAGAACAAAAGTTCTGAAGTGCTTCCTGCTGGCACCAAGTATTAGGATTACAAGCTGTGTCTCTGACACGAGTGGTCAAAAAGCAAGTAGAATAGTTTGTGAGTCTGTGTTGCAGCCTCTGACACGGGGCTCACTGCTGTCATTTGGGGGCTGGAATGAACAATCACTGTTTCATAGCATCCTCCTGTGCTCTTACCTAAGGAATCTAAATTGTCCTAGCCTTTCATTGCTATGCACTGAATGAGGACTATTCTCGTGTGTGTGTGTGTGTGTGTTGGACCTACTAACATATTTAGCAAATGGCTCTGACAGGGTGGCCACGAGCAGATGAGACCAGCTCTGTCTTGGTTGGAAGCCACGTTGCAGTTTGCAGTTTAGCCTTTGGTGTCTCAGTGGCCTATTGCTTATTCCATGCTTTTTCTGTCCCATCCTCGCTCTGTGCCCTCCTGCTCTGGCAGCCTTGGCACAATGCCTGGGTGTCCTCGTCCTTGCTTTACTCTGGAAAGTGTGGGGATGGAGAGGATGGTGCATTTCCAATGTTTCCTTACCTGTCAATAACAATGGTGGCCACATGGGTCCCAGCACTTGGCTGGTGGAGAGATTTTTTTCATTATGGAGCTAATAAAGGGTCTGCATGTTTTACATTGATTAATGAATTATCACCCAGACATGTGCAGATCTAATGTCAATATAAGAAAAATCAAGGCATTGGGAGGTACATGGGCGTAATCAAGTAGTTTTGCTAAAATTCCTCTTCCTTGGTCTACATAAAGAAGACATGGGCCTGTCATAGAATGGGGACATTAGACTGAAAACTGGGACAACCCCCTTCCTTATTTTATAGAGACTAGGAGTTAAGGGGCCTGCCTAAGATTGCAGTGATAAAGAACTGAACCCTAAATCAGCTCCCACTAATGAAACCCTACTTCCCTTGTATCTTTTAAACTCAGTTCTGCATCCAACTTGAGAAGAAAAAACATTTCTTTCCATATCAAGTCCAATATGAGTTCATTTAAACTGCACCTTGCAGAAATGCATTGCCAGAAAGCACCAGTAGCCTCCTGTCTGCAAGCAGAATAATGCTGTGCTCTGGGGAGGGGTCATTGGAAACCATAATGCAGAGTGGGCCCCCTACTCCATTTCCCAGCAGAAGGCTCCAGCTGGAGGGATGGGTCATGGGGCAACCTGGTTCTTGCTAACTGCCAGATCGAATGTGTGGGCTAGAATGCCTGTCCATTTGGTTAAACCAGGCTCAGCATGTTTGCCCTCAAAATGTCCATCCAGGTCACAGCACACAAGATGGGTATTGGTCTGCTTTCACCCCACCCTGTACTACACATGAAAATTTCAATTATTAACACACTCAAACTAATGGAGCTTGTTCACCCTAGGAAGGGGATTATATATATGGCAGGCTTCCCTGGTGCCTATGTAAAGGGCTACATTTTGGAACATATGACTTCCTTGGGACTCTTAAGTGCATACTGATGGCATGAAGTAAAAGGGGCCTCTATGATGATAGGAAAATCAGTTCTTTTAAAATTTCTTCAAGAAAGTCCAGGCTATCACATAGTCTTTCTGTGTGACTTATTAGGAGATAGGAAGAGCATTGGGAAACTTGCACAGCTAGCTATGCATCTACATTTTGGTTTGGGGTTAGTTATGAAATGTTCTTAATATGACGTCTCCAATAACTTCACATAAACTGCCTGTTCTCTGAAACCTCAAAGAGATAAACTAGAGTTAATGAGTTTTTTTTTTTTTTTTTTTTAATGGGGGTAGTTTTCTATCTATCATGGACTCTAGTATCTACTCCACTACCCAATTCTGTCATCTCCAAGCTGAGTTTCCTCTTCTGAGGCAGAGGCTGGAGCAGTTCTTTTTCAGTTCTCATCCTCTCCATCCCAGTCCAGTATATCAATCAACTCTAACTCGGAGATGTCTAGCTGGTAATGTTTCTAAAACTTTCACTGGATTTCTTTAGGCATTGAAGCAAACATTTTTTTCTAAGAATTGCTTCTCAGATGATGATATCAAATGTATATGCTTTTGCAAGTTTGAAAAATTCAAATTAACCCCTTTTGACTAGGTAGGTCTTTCTAAAAACCATTTAAAGCTAACTGGGTCTTAGCATCCTCCTGTGTATGGAAGGGACAGGTGGCCACTCCAGGTTGGGTGCTCACAGAACCCTTTTCCTGACTGTCATGGAAGATGGTAGAAGGAAAATGGACTGTCTCATCAATACTGCTGTGTCCTCTGAAGCAATCTCAGTTTTTATTAACCACCTCTTCTGTGTTTCTGGTAGCTATTTAATCTGTATTTAATCTGTACTTCTTATGCCAGCCTCGATTTTATTTGATTTTTAAAATTAGTCTCTTCTAACCAATGAAGTGTTTGTCAGTATGCCCCAAAGCTTGCTCTTTTGTGCCCCCTTTTGAATAACTTTCTATCCAGAAAAAGAGATTATTTGGGACTTGAGATCTGCAGTGATACCAACTTATAGCAATGATGTACTTTAAGGGAACTACCCACTATGTTGTGATAGGAGAAAGAGAAACCTTCACTTTGGTATTTTTTTAAATCGCTGTTTATTTTTCCGTTTGCTGCCCAGGAAGCAGTGGGAGGTGGTGACAGATACGCTTTGCATATGGATTGTTATGTTTTTTATTTGGGCAAGTTTAATCATGGAAAACTCAAAAAGAAAGGGGGAAATGGTCAGTTTAAGCCAAAAGAAACTTTCTAAACAATGTATATGTACACGGCAAAATTAAACAAATCCAACAATTTCTGAAGCTTAGTGTAATTGAGTGGTGGTTGTTACTCAATAAAATTATCCCAAAAGTGTTTCTCCTAAGAGTGAAGTTCCCATGAGTCACTTCCTGAACCCATTGACCAAAGGTGGACAGAGACAATCCTGTAGACCTTGACATTCAGAAAGATGTGAGCTGCTTACTGATCATGTATGTATATGTTTCTTTACAGCAGAGGAAACCATTGTCCACAAAACTGATGTTCTTTTGGGGTTTTATGTACAGACTTGTCCAATGATGTGTGTGGTTACTGTGAGTTGCTGATGACTTTGCATTGAAGCTCTCTGAGTTCTTTCATTTTACGTTGGGTTTATGGAATTATTTCAATTGTTGGAAGGCGTATGGTTCTTCCTGCCCTCCCTCCCCTTTTGGAAATAGGAAAGCAAATGTTTAGAAGAATTCCTTTTGAGAAGCTGTGTCGTGTTCCCCGTGAAACTGAGCAGGTGTGTGTCGGTGCGCTAAGTGCCACGTGCTTGTGTGCAGAGGAGGAGGTGGCCCTGCCGGCTCCGCGCTGCTGTGCCTGTGATCCCGACCTGCTCCCCGCTCCTGTTGCCAGCAGCACTCACTGCACTCCTTTGTCATATACTCTGCATCACTGTCATACTCACAACTTCATGAATAAAGTTGTGTGCTTTATTCGTAGACGCCTCCATCCCTGTGCTTCATTTCTCGTTCCCTGGCTCCCTTTGAAGGTCTGTCTCGCTTTAAAAAGCACCAATGCAACTTCCAGTAACCAAAACAAAATCAGAATGAACACAAGGCTGTGGGAATGCATTTTTATCATGCAGGTGGAAAAACGCAACAAATAACAACAAGATATTCCAGGACTGTATGTCCAATAACCCAGACCATATTGACCAAGCTGTCCAAAGGAAAGAAATGTTTTGTAGAGCCATTACACTGTGCTGTGTCGCGGGTGTTTGATTTGGTTTGTGACACAGCAGGGATAGTCCCATCATTTTGACAAAGCTGGGGATTTGAGGAGGTTTGAAGTTTCTGAGCCACTATGAGTGTGGGCCACTTTTTAGTAAGAAGCTAGAATGCAGTAGGAGAAAAGCATCCTTCCAATTTTGGGCATCCCTGCATGATCAACCTTTACATGAAGAAATTGTAGATGTTAACTTCCTCGTTATCGTCACTGCCAAGATTTTAGGCTTGCCAGAAAATACAAGGATCTTTGTCCAAGATGGCCCACTCCAACCATAGCCTTCCTTCTGCTCTGTGTCTGCTGAGCCTGCCCAGGACGCAATCACACTGGCATTCACATGACCCTCCCCTGGAAGCGGGATACAGGTTGTTTTCAAGACAGTTGGCATGTTTAGTTCACCACCATGGAAAACAGGCTGGGAGACCTCAGCTCAAGGTCTGTGTTCTACTCACCTCTGCCTCCACCCATGGGAAAGCATCCCTGCTGTGGTCCATAATTACCATAGCTAGGGGTCATCTCCAGTCCTTATGAACTCTCTGTGGGATTTGGCTCTGGTGGCCACCTCTCCAGTGGAGGGTGACTCCTGCCTCACTTCAGTTGCTAGACTTGAGTCAGTGAATCTCACACCGCCTTTGCTGGGAGTGGATCTCGCCTCACCCACTGCTCAGCTGCCTCTCCCCCGGTACCCTGCCTTCAGAGCTTGCCAAACCACTGCAAGTTCCCAGGACATACCATGCTCGCTCCCTCCCAGGCAGCTTTATCAAAGGCATTTCTTCTTTACAATGCCCAACTCTTCAAGGAGGTGGCGGAGCAGAGAGGACCTGGCCCCAGGGAAAGGAAGTAATGAGCAATGTTGACTCTTTAAAAACAGCTACCCATCAGCTCTGGAGTTACCCATGTGAATTTCCCATGGGCTCCATTTGTTCCAAATTAAAGACAAGCCCAAGTTCACACCCTTTCTATGAGCCTGTCTTAATGGGCCAGCCCAACCTGCATGTGATTCTTTGCATGCCTCTAGTCTAACCTCAAGGTCGGTACTTAGCAAATGTTGTACTGCTAGCTGCATGGGTTTCTGCTCTTCAGTTGAACTGTAGTGAGATCTCTGTGCTGAGCTCCAGGCACCCTAGCTTGGCATAACTATGTTGCTCATGAGAGCCTTTCAAAGTAGACAATTTTAGCTCCACTATACAGATAGGAAACCAAAGCTCAGAGTCTAATCAAACATGCTCAATCACTCAGCCAGTGAGCAGCAGAGCTAGAATTCTCCAGGTCTGCCCTCTTCAGATCCCATGCTGTTATCCTCCACATGCCATTCCCTGTGACTTTGTTAGGGCAAGGACTGTGTCCCACATTCTAAAGCTCCCAGGGCGCGGTGCAGAGTGGGTTCTTAGTGTGAGACCGGCCAGTGCCCTTCAGTCTGGCCATGAGCCCCAACACCGCCACCAGTGCGCATTTATGAACAGTTTGGGGGTTACTCACCAGCTGTGTTTCTTGGAGCCCATTTAGCCTCTCTTCAGCCTCAATTTGTTCATCTGCAGAATGGACAAGATAATAATATCCATCAGAAGACTGTTGCCAAAGTATAGCACATGAGCACTTAGGTGGCTGAATAAGGACTAGTATTATTTTAAATAGTCATTCGAGAATGATTTAGTTTTCACTCTGGGCTCTTTACCCCTCCCTCTAGTCATTTCGTTTGTTTTCACAGGACCTTCCTCATGGATTCTCCTTCTAGTCTTTATATAAATACTCCAGGATTAAAATAAGCCCACAACCTCTTTTATATACTTCAATAACAGCACTCTGTCCATCCAAGCATAGTCTAAGAGATTCCTTGAAGATGTGCTAATTAGTAGTAATAATAACCAGAAGTATTACTCAGCAGCAAGTGCAGGGTATAGCATCAGGCTGCCTAGGTTCAAGTTCCAGCTCCACCAATAGCTATCTGTATAACTGACAAATTGTTTAACTTCTCTAAGCCCCAATTTCCATGTCTATAAAAGAGGAATAATAATGATACCTACCACAAAAGTTATTATGAGAATCCTACAGAACGAGAGCCTGCACTTAAAATGGCTTTTATTCAGGCCGGGCACGGTGACTCATGTCTGTAATCCCAGCACTTTGGGAGGCTGAGGTGGGCGGATCATGAGGTCAGGAGATTGAGACCATCCTGGCTAACATGGTAAAACCCCGTCTCTACTAAAAATACAAAAAATTATCTGGGCGTGGTGGCGGGCGCCTGTAGTCCCAGCTACTTGGGAGGCTGAGGCAGGAGAATGGTGTGAACCCAGGAGGCGGAGCTTGCAGCAAGCTGAGATTGTGCCACTGTACTCCAGCCTGGGTGACAGAGCAAGACTCCATCTCAAAAAAAAAAAAAAAAAAAAAAAAAAAGGCTTTTATTCATGAAGTAGCTGCCATGTAATAAGTACTGTTTGCCCAGCCCCGAACTAAACATATTCTGTGGTTTCTTTCATATAGTTCCTTAGGTTGCTTCCATTTTAGTTAAGGAAACAGACCCAGAGAGACTGTCTCTGAGTAGTGGGGCTGGGATTCAAATGCCCATTTCTCCAGTCCTAAACTCTGCCTATGGGCAAGTGTCATGCAGAGAGGGGCACAGGTGCCTCCAAAGCACTGTGGCCACCCAGCATGGCACTCCTCAAACTGGAAGCAAAGGTGCCAGGCTGGGACTCAGCTGCTCCAGAGGGTTTTCCTGGGTGAGGAGGATTGTCCTAGCCTACTCCAGGGATGCTTAGAAACACTCCCTGCAGAAGAGCTGAGACTCATTCTCATGAAAGATGGTGTTTGTTCCAGAAAGATCTTTTCCATGGTATGACTCACTTCAAAGCAACCAAAGGCTGTCAAAGTTGAGCTGCTGGTCCTGAGAGTATTGAGGGACGTTTCCTCAGTGGGAGAAAGCCACCAATCCTCCCTAGCCCCTCTTACCCATTGCTGGAAGAAGGCTACTCTTCCCCGCAGGTCATTGCTGGGGTGTGTCTGTCAACCCCGCCCTGCTGGAGGTGGCCCACTGTGGGCCGGAAAGCACTGGGAAGGGCGGGGACTTGGAGCTGCCAGCGTTTGAGAAAGCCAGGGTGGTTGGGAGAATAGCGCCCAAAACCTCAGGGAATCTCCACCCCAGCCCTAAGAACTCATTTCCGTACCTTCTTCCCCACAGGAGACCAGGACTCTGAACAAACACTTCCCTTCTACTCCAGCAGAGCTCAGGGATAGGCTGTAGCGAGTCAGGTCTGCGGAAGAGGGGGTAATAGAACCACATTTATTTTACTTTCCAATCTCCACTGCATAAAACTGCTCTCCAGGGCCTGCTATTGTGCTGAGCACAATCGCAGCTCCTGGAGGGGTTTTTCTGTATTTATTTGTGCTGTCCCCTGCTGCCGACTCTTAATTCAGCCCTTCCCATCAGATAAAAAGAAAAAAGTTGGCTTAGGAAACCTCCCCTTCAGAGCAGAGGCTGTTCCTTCTTTGCCCCTAGCATATGTTAGCCGTAGGCCCACCCAGAGTATCCCGAAGGGGCTGAAGGCAGGGCAGAGCCTCAGTGTCTTCTAGCCCCAGATCTAGCCGGGTTGAGACCCCCCAGTTGTCTGAGTCCAGATGCTAAGAAGAGAATGGTCTGATGGCAGCAGCAGCGAACATTCTTTGCAGGCCTCCAAGTGCCAGGTGCTGGGCTAAATACTCTAGGTAGATTATTTAGTTTAATCTGAGAAGGGCAAACTCAAGGCTGGGAGAGGCCCACTGACAAGTGGGTAGGATTCTAGCACTCTCCCTTCAAGTCCAAATGCCACCTTCCTCCTAAGGCAGTTACAGCTCTCTGGGGTCTCCATGAGGCCTTCTAAGGATGTCAAAAGGATTGTCTACAAAGACAAATACCAGGCTTTCTCAGCAAGGTGGAGCCTGGCCATGAATAACATTTTGTTCTAAGCCAGACGGATGCTGGCACAGAAAGAATAGGTTCTTTCGTTCCTGCTATTGTCTTAAAGCATATGCTTCTTAATGAAAAGTTAGAAAATGTTGATGCCAGTTACATTCCCATCAGATAAGAGCAAGGGTCAGCTGGTTCCTCCTGTTGAAAAAAAGAATTATTACACCCCTCCTTTACATAAAAACAAGGTGCTTCAGACCACTCAGAGTAAATCACTAGGATTTATTAACCATTTTGTCAATCAAATGGCTTCCCCTTGCACACACGTGACCTATGATCCTCACAAGCCACCTGGGTGAATATTGTTCCCTTCGATACACAGATGAGAGCCTGCCTGGCTTGTCCAAGCCCAAAGGGAGACTTGGGGAAGGAGCTAAGATCTGGACCCAAGTCTAACTCCAAAGCTCAGGCTTCAGTCCACAAAGAGGCTTTGATTGGGTAGATCTGGGTTAGCAGCTGGGAAGTTAAATCTTACAACAAAATATAAAAGCCTCCAGATAATTCTGATGATCAACCAAGTTTGGGAACCCTTCCCCACATCCCAGGATCTCAGGTCAGTGGCAGAGCTGGTCTGTGATGAACCAGGCATCCCTCGCCAGGATTTGTTATTCACCATCACCCTAATTCACAAGACCACAGTCAGACAAGACCCGAGAAACCTGCCCTCGCTGAGAACTCCGTAGGAAATCACCTACATCTTCCTTCAGCTCGGCAAGGCTCCAGCCCTTGGAACGCCCCCGGGAGATTCCATCTCAGTCTGCTCAAGTGTCACCG